TGAAAAGGGCATGTGTGTAGCCAGGTATAATCTGATGTTTCTTTTGCCAGGTCTGCAAATATTCTCTGATGCACATCTTCCACAGGACTGTAGTATGAGCATACTTTGCTACTTATGAGCCTGAACTTGTCCGGGAGTGGAAAGCACAATGTTTGAAAAGGAAACATTTTTGGGCTGCAGGTGTTAACGATTTATTTGCTGTAGATCAGCATGATATGTGGCTAAGATTTGGCCTTGCTCTTCATACTGGAATTGAACCTTTCTCAGGGCACATCATGTGGATCCATGTGTGGCATTCTAATAGGAACCCACAGCTCATTCTCAGCTACTACTTGGATACAATTCAGAATCTTGGTCATAAGTTGTTCTTGATCACATTTGATGCCTATCCTTGCTCACAATTCATGGCCATTACATTTTAGATATGCCGATGGTGACACAAAGTGACCCTGGTACCAAGAACTATGGCATTGTGAATGCCCACATGATGCTACAGCAGTGGCATGATCCTGCGCTGCAAGGCACACTCCAGCATTGTTGGATGCAGTCAAAGAAGAATGTGATGCCAGAAATTACATGGTCGCAGTTATGCCACCGCTTCACTCCCAGCTTCGAATCAATATTAGACCAGGGAGTCAATGAAGGTTGGTACAACACCAACAATACTCTACAAGTGTGAGTTACCTTTCGCAATGCTGCTGATATCTCAACACTACTAATCATCACCACTTCAGAATGGTATTCCATTGGGTCTTCATTCCTTGGTTGCAATGCAAACTCAATGCATACCAGGATCGCATTAATAACACAGCAAAGAGGTGTGATCGCAACAAGGTTTGTCAGTGTACTAGACTGCAAGCAAGACAATGCTAATTTCTGGTTTCACTGTCAGGTACTTCCGCATGGTGTTCCCAATCTCATCTATGAGTTGCCTGAAGATTTCGGTGCTCTGGACTTCAAGGTATGTCATACTAATGTGTCCTTCAAGTTTCAGACACTTACTCATAATTTTCAGATCACCATAGAACAAGCCACTATTGATCATGTTTGAGCACTCTACATCAAACCTGGCCACCCCATCTTCAACCTTGTGCCTCCCAATCTGGGTAATTACATTCAGCATTGCTATGAATGAATGGGCCATCCCATCATTGACCGTGACTCAGCATGGCCTGTATATCACGATTTGCTCCATATGCTCCAGTATGGCACTGATGATCTCACACTGCTTGAAGTCTCTGGTGACAATGAAGAGGAATTAGAAGATTTGCCCCTTCTCAATAACTACCAAGACCTGCCATTTAACGAGGACAGTTACTACATGGGGGGCATTGGTGGTGGGTTGGGGCTGGGTAAGAAGTCCAATCCTTTCAAGCCTCCTTTTCAACTGACCTCTCCATATTAGATGCAGTGCACCATCAACAGTTGGATAACCTCATGGAGGAGGATGAGCCTGATGTTTCCAAGTCTGTAGACAGAGATGCCAATCTTGTTGGGCTTGATCATGACAGTCTCATTGTTTGGAGTTTCTCTGATGATGAAGATGATGTTGAGACTGATCAGTGGTAACCTACATATATGATATATTTTCTTGTGTCTTGATATAGCTTTACAATATACAGTGATGACCTCCTCTGCACTTCCCATCATGACGTGACAAACAACAATTAATAAATTTTTCTAATGGTCATACAGGGTGTTTGGAGGCCAATGGAAGCACCTGCCTTAATAGGCAGGTTCTGAGAAGTTGCAAAAGTTGAGCACGGTGGTCTGGCTTTCCATAAAACAGAGATAGTGCCAAATTTTCAAGATGACATTAACATCTTAGGCCCTCCCACTCACTATGAATCGCCCAATGGATCATATCAAACTCACTCTGAAAATCCCAGGATCTGCAGGTTTGTGTGAGAGCACTGTATAGATGCTAATCACATCCTGCATAGACTAAAGCATGCTGGTCCCACAGTTTCAGCAAAGAAACTTTTCCTTTGCATACCTGAAGTCCTTGTTGTCGGGCATTTATGTAACTATGAAGGCCACATCCCAGACTCATCCAAAGTCTCCAAGATTTCCAATTGGCCCCCCTGTTCAACAAAAACTGAAGTTCACAGTTTTCTCAGTACTGTTACAGTGCCCCACTCTTTTTCCACCATCACTGCGGACACCTAATGGCTGTACTATTAAATGCTTCCTTTTCACCTTGCTGTTTCCTCATGGTCTTCCTTATCTCTGACTCATACTTTGTTTTCCCATGAACCTTCCTTTCTTAGTACTTGTTACCCTTTGCCCAGCTTGGTCTGTGCACAATTCCTTTGCATATATAAACCATAGTTACTGCTTGTATTTTCTCTAACTTGAATCTACTTGGTTCTCTTCAATAACTTGAACTCTAGATCCTGTGGGAGTCTAGACAATTGCTCCTGAGGGAGTCATTGACTTGATAAGGCTTTGTCCTTGATCGACCCTGATCTTGATTCCTTTATTGGAATGATGCTCTATCCGAGTTCATAACAAAAATTCAAGTTACCTTTGAACCCCTCCATCTGTAGGGGCTTTACCTTTTGAACCCATGAAAACTGATTGATTGCCAAAGTGGCACCCTCTCAGAAGAGCAAGAAAGCCTTCTCTGAAAGATCCAGACTTCCCTATAGTCCCTACCCACCTAGTACTCCTATGTCACAAATTCCTAATTTGGGTTTCAGTGCCTTGTAAATCATTTCAATATTCAAAGACTGAGCACACTTTGAAAGCGCTTACAATAATAGAGTCACCATTGCAATCACACTGTAATTTCAGTTGCAATTATCATGGCAATTGCCATTGGAATGCGTGGTAATCTACCTTAGCATTGTAATGAGTTATTTGTCCAGGAAACCACAACAGTCTTGAAACCACATTGCAATGTCAAGTAGCACATTGTAAGGACTTAAAAATCAATTTTTTTATTTGTAATTTTGATATTTAAATTTGATATTCATCTATTAATAATACATATTGTAAGAATGGCGCATTCAATGTTGCTCAGCACATCCAAACACCTGTAAAAATGTGACAGTTCTGGATTGTAAAAGCAACATGGTAGAAAGTAAGAACTAACCATTACAGACGGAATGTTCGGCGATGAGCAAGGGTGTGGTTATCGATGGATATACCTGTGCAAGAACAAAGAAATAAAAATGAACTGTGCGTTCATTGTTCATTGACGATTGCATATCTCTGAATCATCCATGGGATAAAGTGGCATAGGCTCTAAGGACAGGTTTAGGCTACTGGAACTGCTCATGGAGTTGATACAAGACTTATCTCAAACACATGCAGAGCATCGTCGGACACGAGAGCAAATTAAAGTGAGTGAAGGGTCTGGAGAATGAATGTTAGTGCACATTCCCAATCCTGAAAGCAGAATGCACCTTCAGCATGGAATGAGCTTACCTGTCTTGAGCTGTCTTGCTGAACAGACCAAGGTTCACCTCAAACACGGTCTTTAGAAGACCCATATTTGCACCCTGGTATAAGTCAACTTGGTGCTCCCAGAGGTTGATGAGAAGTACTTCTGACGAAGTAAGGGAGAAAAGAGTGGATTTGTGTTCAAAGTCCTGAGAATGGTTGAATGACAAAAACCACCATTAACTGAAATTCGTTCATACCTGGTCCTCTCCATGTTCCTGTCCATCCATGCCTTCCACATCCATGACCATGACACCCATGTCTTTCCCTCGGCACATCCAGATACCTCAAGCTGAGTTAGCACAAATATGAAAGTTGAGTAGTCCAAATATTTACCTTTCATAGTCTGCTGCCATCTTGTCTCATCCATGATGTCAAAGGTAGTACCAAATAGCCTATTTAACAGTGCACCTGCCAGTCCTCAGTGGACAGCACTTCCAGACATTGGCATTTCAGCAGCTTACTCTTCCCAGTAGACTGCGACCCGAAGACAGCTACTATGTTGTAATTGAAGTCAGCATCACGTAGACCCCATTGTCCTATTTGAGATGTCAAGTGGGTCCTGTTGGAAGTAGTGTAATTGAGGACTTGAGGAAAATTCATACATGTTAGCAGACCGACATGAAGTTCTTCTCATCATTAATGACTTGCAGATGCTCAGAGGTTGACGGACTCTCATTATCTTCTAATGCATGTCCATTCATTGTTGGCTTGGTGCCATTGAGCTGTGCAGTGAGTAATGATTCAGAAGAGTCAAGAATTGAATGAGGAATTTTAACGGATTGACCATCAAGCGACATGACTGCGAAATGAAATGGAGTAGAAATGAATGTCAATCAAATAAAAAAACATGAAGTGTGAGCATGCAGTCAAACTGACATTGACAACATTTTGAGCGGAATGTTCCAACACACCTTCTGAAGGGTCATAATCCCTGGAGACTTGAATATTCTTCCAACTGAACACATGCAGAGCATTGGACACAAGAGCAAGTGAGTGAAGGTTCTGGAGAATGATTAGTGTGCATTCCCATTGATCCTCAAAGCATTGACAGAAATCAAACACACCTTCTCATAATAATCTCTGGAGAGATATGAACATTCTTCCAACTCTCGACCTCTGGAAGTGTTGTGCCAGTTCATCAGCACTGTATATCATGTTGGTGGTGTTTGTCGACAAGTTTTTAGAGGCATTAGAGTCAGAAGGTAAAGTTTTGTATGGCAACAGACGATGTGGTTGTATGATAAGGCACATGAGAACTTTGCAATTGAGTTACAGTCAATTATTATGTAAGCATCGGTCATTGACGTGCATTGTAAGTCTGTTGGACTCAGTTGGAGGCACGTTTGAAGCCCTTGTAATGATATTGAAATTTGAATTGTGTGATTTAGAACAGATCGAACAGTAAGGGTAGCTAATATATGCGACTTTAACACCAGAACATCCATGATGAGTAGGACCCTGAGTTGTGGCCTTCTTCCCCCTAGTCTTGCCCCTCCCTTGTCCCCTTAAGCCTGACACCACATCAGTTTCCTCTCCATCATTGGGTGCAGCTGCCTCAACATTTGTATTCAATTGATTGTTAGCATGAACAGCAGCATGAGATGCTGATTCTTCCATATTTGTAGGCTGAATGTCAAGATTTGGACCTTCAGGCGCTGATAAGATTGGTGGTGCTGAGAAGACTTGTGGCACTGAGGGCGCTGAGGGCACCAATAAGACCTGCACTGCTGAGGGCGTCAATGAGAGTGGTGGAGCATCTTCTTTGCTATCAGTCTCCATGTTAAGTGCCAGCATGGCACGGTTAATTTCGTCAGAAAAATCTTCTGTGCCAGCAGATTCCAGGGTGGATGGTGACTTTGCACCACCGAAAACATGGTTGTTGATATTGGTGACAATAGTCTTGATCCATTTCATGCCCCACTTCACAATGAGTAACTTCTTGTACTGAAAGAAGAGGTCCTTATAGTTGAGAGTTGATGATTTTCCAACTCCTGAACCTGGAAACTCAGTGTCTGGTGAGAGCAGAAATATAGCCTGTGTTACAGTGTATGAGTAGAATCATTTGATGCAAGATAAACAACTTATGATAACTGCAGCCCATGCAATAGACCCTGGTGTGACTTGTTGGAAGCTCCACTTACGAGCATTAGTCTTCGATCCGCTGCAAGGCTCTTGATGGAGTGAGGTGACACCATGGAGCGAGGCCTGCAGAATCTAGATACATCATAGTAAGTACATAGATGACAGCACAATCATGTGAGACAATAGCACACCTTAGCAACAAGTATCCAATTGCCAAAGACAGTCTTGAGGGTCACGTCTTCTTGCAGACCTGGGAACAAGAGAGGTGGAAATATCTTGTAAGCCTGAGTCTTGCCAGAGACTCCAAGCATCTTCTGGATGTCGGCAATGCCAGCTCAGTCATAATTGGCATTGGCAAAGTACTTCCCTGGAAGGTTGAATATATCTCCAGCGATGCCATGCAGTTTTTTGATCTCATTAGAACGAGTGTCAGTGATACACTTATTGACCTATGACAACTGGAATAGATCAGATAATAACTAACAGCACAAAAAGTGAAGTATAACATACAAGGTCTTTGAAGTACATGCTTCCCATTACTGCGTTGTGGATACATTCAGGGAAATGAGTATAGAGTTTGTCCAGGAAGGCAGATTCTTGAGTTGCTGAGGTCTTGTAACGATCAATGCTGTTGAACAGTGTACACGAATCTGGGCACTTCTTCATGAGAAGTTCACTGTCTGGAAACATTTCCACCGTCATACCATATTTATGAGCATACAATGAAATAGTTTGCTCATGAGCAACAAGTGCATCTGGAGCATCTACACATCATTTCCATTTGGGCTTCTCAGTGACGAGAACCTTGTTGTTCTCCTTGAGGGTGCAATTGTCATCATGCAGTCACTGAATCTCAAGTTGCATTGCTTTGAGTGCCTGTATTGAGGAGAGCATAAGTTTCTTTTGAACATAATGAAGTTGGTTGCTACATATGTCCATGAGATCTCCCTTGGAGGCATTGGGCCCCAGGATGATAGAGATCGGATCGGCAACATTGCCCTCATCCCAGTCATCATCTGAATCATCGCCCAACATCTGCACTGACAGGTGAGACATGTTTTAGATGATTAGTGACAAGGTAAGGAAGGGAAAAAGACGGCATGATGCACCTAGTATATAAGTCGAGCTGTATATTAATACCTCATGTACCCTAGACATAAATCAATTAGTTGAAAACTGCTGTGAGGCACATAAAAAAGAGCACAACGGACTGCCGCATGTTGATGGATGATGGGCATAACTTGCTCTAGGACAGTAAACTCTTTGGCTCGTGAAGGGTGTGGTGGACGGTAAACTCTTCAGCTTGTGGAGGATCCTGGGTCTGGTAGGTGGTAAACTCTTTGGCTCATGGAATGTCTGGTTGATGACATTCCATGAACCATTTCGCAGTTGCTGCAGTAGGTTGAGAATAAAATCAGTGTGCCACATGCATTCTGGCATCCTGGACTTACCAATTTGGTGGAGGGCCTGGTGTGTGGTAAACTCTTTGGCTCATGGAATGTCTGGTTGATGACATTCCATGAACTGTTTCGTGGTTGCTGTAGTAGGTTGAGAATAAAATCAGTGCGCCGCATGCATTCTGGCGTCCTGGACTTACCAATTTGGTGGAGGGCCTGGTGTGTGGTGAACTCTTCAGCTCATGGAGGGTTTGGTGGGTGGTAAACTCTTCGGCTCATGGAGGGTGTGGCAGACGGTAAACTCTTCAGCTCATGGAATGTCTGGTTGATGACATTCCATGAACTGTTTCACGATTGCTGTCAGTGTCACCAGCAGCAAAGAATGATGGTGGTTGGGAATAGTGCTTCTAGTAGACCATTAACGAGACCAAGATGCCACAAGTGAAGAAAATGAGCAGGCATACCAGGTACAGTGGAAGAAAGACGACTTGAAGGTGTGTGATCAAACATGTATTGGATGTCCTGCCTTAAGATGTAGTTCCTTCACATGGAGGAACATATCGGTGTTGACAGTGTCGACAACAAGGTGATCAGTACTACCATCTGGCATGAGGAGGGCTCCACAAATGATTGATCATACCGAAAAAAACTCGGCTTGTGCCCAAGGTCTTGCTCAAACGCGATAGAAGTTAAGGTGTTTGTCCTTTCAGAGCTGCACACCCATGGGAGCATTGAACGGATGAATGAGAGCTAATGAGAGAGTGATATCTCCCACTACACATTCAAATAGAAAGAGCAAGTGACCGAATATCACTTTGTCAGTCATCTGAATGAACACACAATCAAAATGCGGATGACCATAGAACTTGGGACTGCATCGAAGATAGTCTGTATGTTGTCACCAATCCACCATAGACTTGTAGTTGACCTTCAAAAAATGGCACTTGGTAATAACCTGTTTGACCATATCAGTGTAGCAAAGCAGAGTCAGACTGAATATAACCAACCTTGTCACTTGCTTGGAGTTGGATGCGGTTTCCACCTGGTAAAGGGAGTTGAATAGCGAGTAGAAAGTTAGTCAGGAATTCATTGAGCTTGGTCCGAAAATTAGTGAATGCAATGTCCTCCTTGTGAGCATCCTCAATTGATTCAAAGGACTCCTCAACCTGCCTTGATCCAAGCTTTATGTGAGGCAAATCTGTATCATTTGATGGGACCAAGTCGTTGTCTGCATTGTCTGGATCCTCCAAGTCTTCACTGTCTTGGGACTTGTACTCATCAAGGTCTGATATGTGGCACCAAATGCTCTCAGCTGCCACTTGCCAGTGGTTTATGTGCAGTATCTGAAATGAAATCAATGCCAAATGATAGTTAAAGTAAAGAAATGTCACCTGTGGCGCCACATCCCTGAAATTCATGCGAAGTAAGTACGAGTCTTTCAGCAGCCCATGCATCTTCTCATTAGGCTTTGTATTGTAGTTGTGGGTTGCACCTTTCACTTCAACATTATCGAAGATGTGCAAGCTCATGTGCAGTTTGGGGAAATTCCAATTCTTATTGCTCTCATCGGCACTCTTGTCTATGTATTGCTATTGTAGGTTCAATGAATGAATGATTATATTTTGAGTGAATGCGAGAAGACGTACTTGTAGATAGGTCGAGAAAGCTTGTATTGTATGCTGGCTGGCACTGATGGTCTCAGTTGTGTGAACTTGCAGTGCTGCATACATGTTGAGTTTGAGAAAGAGGCGGATGCAATGAAGTAGAAGATAGCCAAGTGGACACTCATCCTCTGTTAAGATTGCATGTGTAGCATGTATCACCATCTGAAAAAGAGTCAGTGACAATCAAGGAGGATGTGAACCAAAAACAAACCTTAGAGATGTCTTTGTACATGCTGCCATCAGTGAATGAAATGCTCATTACCTGAGCGAGGTGCTTCAAGTTCCGCCAGCGAGGAAAGGCTTCATAACTAGTTTAACGAGTTAGTTCAAGATATATATTTACAATGCTCAAGCTGCAGACATACTTTTTGTCCACTTACACTACTTTTGTTCGTCCCAAACTGCCAATGATTTTCTGTAGTTCGACCCAGAGATGGTTGTGGTATAGACCACTGTTGAAGTGAAGTCAATCCCATGACAATGCATCGTGTACATCAGTACACATCACAGCCGCAAAGGCATTCTGTAGTTTTGTTTAATTAGAAATAGATTTACAAAATAAAATCTTACTATGAGATCACAAAGGACGTACTCTTTCAGTTTCTCCTCCTTCTCCTCAGCAGTTTGCTTGGACCGTGCGGCCTGCAAGACTTCCTGCGACTGAGCAGATGTTTGATAAGGATAACACTTCAATGTGTTCATAAGTTCGTCATGGGGCACAAGGCAGACTGGACATGGACAAAGGCATTTGATGCCTTGGATCAGCGACATAATGCATCTTAAGTATATTATTCATTAGCAATTCAGATTAAAATCGAAGCAGTCAGACATTACTCACTGTTCCTCATAATCAGCCGACAAAATGAGGATGAAAGGAAAAAACCAGTGTTGAACATTATCGAGGCACTCAAACCATTGTCCTGTGCGAGATTTTGATGTGAGTGAAGACAGGATCTTTATGAATGACTCATGCCAAATGGCATTCTTGAAGTTGACCCAGCTTGGCTTGCTGGCGTGGTCTCTGTCTTCCTTCACCTGTGGTAGAATATGAATCCTAACTATATTGAAAATATTGCCATGACATACAATCAGAAGCCATCCAACTACATAACTGCCACCTACACCCTGTCCATTACGAATGTCTGTAGGTAGATTTGCTAGATGTGCAATGACAGGATATCCTCTTGCAGTGCCGAATGACGACAACTGAGTTTTGTCAGCATACAAGATGAAAGCCAAGGGCTTGCCGCCTGGTGGGAGCTGAGACTACGAGGCAAAAAGAATGCGATCAAAATCGCCAAAGGTGATAGTAGTACATACTTGAACATTCCAAAAGGTGTTGGCAGTGAAAGGCTCATCTACAAAATGTACGAAAGTCTCGCCATTGAACTTTGAGAGGTGCTGTGCATCAAAAACTATATGTGGGAACAGTCAAGGATTGTGAAGGAGATCGGCTGCCCACTCCCAGAGATCCTGATAGTATAAATCGAATTGTCAAATTGTGTCATTGTACGATACAGAAATTATGTCCTGAGTAAACTAACAAAACCCAGGAGTTGTCAGACATTGAGTTTCAGAATGAATGAAAGAAAACAACCCCAGTGACGCGATGGGAGACAGCATCCCACATGTTGCAGATGTCTTTGTGATTCTGGAATGTGAATTTTTCCTGCCAGGAAGTGCACTGGTTACAGAACTTGATCAGACGATCAGTCTGTTTGTTATTCAGGCATGCCTCCAGAGCAAGCTCAGTGATCTCAAACTCCAGTCGCGATTTGAATGGAGCCCAAGGTTGTTTGTTGGGAGGTGTGGAAGATGTCGAGGGTGTTGGATGGCGTTTAAAATCGTTGAAAGCATGAACTTCTGATGCCATCCTGCTGCTGGGATGATATTCACGCTTGATATCGTCAACTTGGAATATGGGATCTATGCGTTCAGAGATGTCAGCATCAAGCAACAAGGGGTGTTCTAGCAAAGTGTTAAATGTGAATATAACAAACAAAATGGACGATATTCTGAGCTTACCATTGTACCCCATGTTGTCTAAATCATCCCAAGCGCCTGGAGAGATATCACATTGTCCTGTTGCAAATTGAATACAATCAGAAAACACACTAAAAGGACACTCACCTCTCTGTCCTAACACTGCATCAGCGCAATCTCCCCTCATTTGTTGCGGATTTGAGGGACCTGTGATTATTAGTATAATTAAATATTGTCAATAATGAGAGATTGCATTTACCTGCAGTTACAGCCTGAATGGAATCCACAAAGTGTTGATTTTGCTGTTGTTTTTCAGCTTTCTTCTCACAAGCCTTGCGGTGAGTAGTGTAACTGCATGGTTTAATGTCTTGGTGACACAAGTCACAGTATTTTGACCTCTCAGGGCCCATTTTGTTGACAGGGATGTACAAGTTATGTACTGGTATCAATATGTATGGAAAGAAGGGGGAGAAGGCTCAAGAACGCTGTAAATGGGAATTCAAGCAAGTCAGACACATCAATCACATTGCATACACATTGCAAGTGATTGAAACCCTGCCATCAATCTTACAGCATCGTTGTAAACATGATTGTAATGTGATGTAAATCGTTCCTGATTACAATTGTTTTAGGAAATTTGCAACATAGACAAACCTCTTCATCATGAGGATCCTTTGACATTCCCTGCACTCCTGTCCTCCCTATTCTTGCTGTCCCAGGCCCTTCATCCATCACACACTGCACAATTGTTTCTCACTTTGAAACAAGTGCACCAGCACCTGTAGAAGACAGAGATGAAGAAATCCCTGACACTCCACCCATTGAACCGGTAGCACCACCAAGATTCCCCTCCCCTGAACCAGAACCATCAGACACTGACTTGGACTCAGACTCCAACAATGACATGCCAAAACCTATTGAAAGAAAGATCTGTCAACCACCTGACTTTAGTGGTAACCGAGATGAAACCACAAGGTTTCTTCGTCTCATCACACTCTATCTACACTGCTAATCAGGATAAACCTGAACATAACATGCATAATCATACCTTTTGTTAAGAACCATGCTCAAAGGAGAGAGAGACTGACTCAGAGGGGCTTGGCCTCAGCTTGTACGCTGTGCCCCTTACCCGAGTATGTGCCCTTCATTTCAGAGGAAGTCTGATGATGGTCCAATGAAGTCCGGAGGACTTCCAGAGGCTGGCTACTCTGGTGGAGAGTGCGGGAGGACTTCCGGAGGAGCGTGGGAAACGTCCGGAAGAGCGCGGGAGAGTTCCGGAGGAATGCAGGAAATGCTCAGGAGAGTTCCCACTGCAAGGTAATACTTCTACAGGAAAACAGGATGGAAGGGTAGGAGGTCTGGAGGGCGGAACATCCAAAGGACAGGATACCCGGAGGTATGAGGGACAGGACGTCCAGAGGTCTGGAAGGAATAGGGGTATACTAGAGGCTATCTGAGAGGATCAGTAAGCAAAGGAGTAAGGCTATGTACGAGCATGTGGAAACACATTGGTAAGTAAGACAGAACATAAGTAAATGAACTCAGAGATGAAACTAGTAGAAGGATCAATCAGCAAGACGGAAACAGAGATAACCGAGAACCGGAAAGGTAGAGATGTCTAAATAGGGATAGGTGCAGGATCTCGGACAGAGGGTGGGAATAGGTCCAGAGATCTGGGGATCCAGAAGGCAGGGCAGAAACAGGACTGAGATATGTGAGGTGGTGGATGTAGTCCAGAATCTGAGAGGAGGTAAAGTCCAGATGTCTTGCTGGACAGAATGTGTGTAGGGTGGACAGGATAGGGGATCCAGGAATGAGTTGGATATGGGGTCCGGAAACAGGTCCGGAAAGCGTGGGAATATGATGGGATCTATGTCTGGCATACGGGATATGACACCTTTATGGGATCTGTGAGAACCCCAGTACTATCAATATATATATATTTACCAAAGGATTTCTGTCAATGTTGTAATGATGACATGAAGCAAACCATAATAGGATATTGGTTGCAAAGGTCAAGCAGAGATTGGGATCCTCTCTGATGAGCATGGTGTCAGGGATGGCACACTATCATATACTAACATTGTGATGGGGTCAAATGCTAAGTGCTGAGTGCTGAGGTCTGGTACTTACATTGTGCATTTGCAATAGATATTACTATATCTACTCAGAAGGTGCTTCACAATGTGATGAGGGCAGCTCAAGCATACATGTTGATTGACATAATTTACAAACAACAAGTATAATTTATATAAGAACAAAATGCTACAAGTACGAGGGGAAAGGAAAAATAAGCTGAAAATCATCCCATATACTTATGTGAATCTCATCTAGGATGTGCTGGCTGAGAGAGCTATCAGCTGGTATAGTCAGATTGTCCACCATCCAAGACTCAATAAATTTCCCTTCCAAACTGATCTTAGGGTTCCAGTTAGGCCAGGACCCCCAAGGAAAGTCTGGATTGGCAGCAATGAATGCCATCCAGAATGTGTCACAGCCCCAGGCCCACTCAGGTGCTCTAACATCTTGAATGGTGTCAACTAGCCAACTTTCCACCTGTCTGGTGAGCACAGACCAGTTGGCCTCACACAAGGGATTGAAAGATGGTGGAAGTGGCAAGAAGGGTATCTACAATGTAAGGTTCAATGCATGTCAGTGCTGTGCACCCTTTGAGACTCACCATGCACTGTAAGACAGACTGTGACTCAACATTTAAAACCAATTCTGTCCAGGAAATATGGTGGATTACAGGCACCACCTGCCCTTCAAATTCTCATGGTAGTTGAATTGTGACCTGTAGTGGCTAGTAGACAAGGTGAAGGGTGTCAAGGAATCTGAATAAAGAGTACTTACAATGGTACCAAGTTTCAACAGTGCTGACCATGCCATACTTCCCTGTAAAGATATGGAGAGAGAAATGGGCGTGAAGCTGACACCTTCATTAGCCAGGAGAGGCAAGGTGTGGATGATGCTGGTGACAACAGACATGGGTCTGTGCAGTAAGAGTTGTTCTATTGACTGTCAATATTCTTCAAAGTTGTGTTGATCAAAGACAAGGAAATATTCCCACAGATGATGGTTGTTGAAACTGTGGCATTGAAGCTTGAATGTTCAGAAGCTTCTAAGTTCTGAAGGTCCCCTGTGAATCGTGATCAATATTCAAGTGTGTTTGCAGCGTGTTGCCTGATTTTTTGACTCTGACCTTTACTTTGAGCACTCTGAAACATACCATGGCCAGGACAGGTTGTCAGTGGTCAATTCCCCTTGATCCCCAAGGTATGAATTCTTTTTATGCCAGTAACAGACTTACAATGATATTCTTCAGTATTTTCATTGCCGAAACTCGGTGGATGTGTGATATGCAAGGTCTGCCTGCAGCACAATGGGAGACTGTGAGCTATGTAGGCCTGCCATGTTGCTGACCACTGTGCTACAAAACTTCATAAAGACAGCTTTATTCTTAGTTTGTGCACTCAGGAGAAGAAAAATTGACCACTGCCTGCCCAGTCACTGTCACCTCACCTCACTCCCACTGCTCATTCCCATCTGGCCTATGATATACCACCACCAGAAGATCCAGAGAGACCAATAACACCTTCCCCCCCTTCAGTGATGAACATGGAGGATGACGACAATGACTGTGATCATGAACAATTACTGCAACTGTGGGATACTGTCATATCCCATATGCCAGACATAGATCCCATCATATTCCCACGCTTTCCGGACCTGTTTCCGGACCCCATATCCAACTCATTCCTGGATCCCCTATCCTGTCCACCCTATGCACATTCTGTCCAGCAAGACATCCAGACTTTACCTCCTCTCAGATTCCGGACTACATCCACCACCTCACATATCTCAGTCCTGTTTCCGCCCTGCCTTCCGGATCCCCAGATCTCTGGACCTCCGGATATTAACTGTTACTATCTCCAGACCTATTCCCACCCTCTGTCCGAGATCCTGCACCTATCCCCATTTAGGCATCTCCGCCTTTCTGGTTCTTGGTTATCTCTGTTTCCATCTTGCTGATTGATCCTTGTATGAGTCTTCATCTCCAAGTTCATTTAGTTATGTTCCATCTTACTTACTAATGTGTTTCCACATGCTCATACATAGCCTTACTCTGTTGCTTACTGATCCCCTCAGATATTCTCCAGTATATAACCCCTGTAGATACTCCTGTAGTTTCCTTAGTCTGAATATCATCTTAGATCCTGTTCATCACCTTAGATCTGCCCAATCATCTTCTGGACTTCAGTCTGTCTGAGTCTCATCCTTTTCCATAAGGCCTAGGGGAGGATTCCTTAGGCCAGAATCCTGGACCTTCGGATTTGTCCCCTATGTCTCTGTCCCAAGTCTAGGGATTGCTTCCCAGCTGGAGTCTTGCCTTTCCAGCACTTACCCTCTCTCCAGACTTTGGTCCACTTCCTGTCTCTCCAACTCTACCTAAGGGTAGTCTACCTCTGTTTGCTTCTACATCAGACTTCGTCTGATGTAGCCCCTATTCCTTCTAGACCTCTGGATGTCCTGTCCTTCAGATGTTCCATCCTCCTAACCCTCAGACATCCTGTCCTCCATACCTCCATGTCCTATCCTGTGTACCTCTGGACCTTCAGTCCTCCTGTCCTCCATACTTCTGGACATCCTGTCCTCCTGTCCCCCTGTCCTCTGGACCTCCTACCCTTCCATCCCATTTCCTGTAGAAGTATTACCTTGCAGTGGGAACTCTCCTGAGCACTTCCTGCATTCCTCCGGAACTCTCCCATGCTCCTCCAGAAGTCCTCTAGCACTCCACCAGAGTAGCCAGCCTCTGGAAGTCCTCTGGACTTCATCAGACCATCATCAGACTTCCTCTGAAATGAAGGGCACATACTTGGGTAAGGGGCACAGTGTACGAGCTGAGGCCAAGCCCCTCTGAGTCAGTCTCTCTCTCCCTTGAGCATGGTTCTTAACAGATACATCAACACAAATATTTGTGATTGAGGAACCTGACCTTTACAGTGAACTTATTGCTGCTCGAAAATGGGGAGATACACTCTTTACATGCTCTCTTCAGCCGCTTGCAGATGAACTTGGACTCGACGACGATGACATGCTGGACCCTCCTCCCGATGATAACGAATTTGGGTCGTCCTTGGAAGACGAAGGTATGTAGATACTGCATATATCATGCGAGAAATGACTCATTGTGCTGCAGAGGATCGCATCAACAATCAACTGTGCATGGATGATTCCACATATCCATGGCCTTCAAAAGCGGTATGTCTCATTTCATTTTGATCTATCAATGAATTTACAGAACCCTGCCAGACCTTTATCACAGACCTCCTCTTTGGTTCAACACACCTGCAATTTTCAGAGGCACAGAAAAAAGCTGTGCTTAGTTGGGCACATGAAATGGGCGCTCAAAATGTGCCTACCTTGTATGCGCTTCGCAAAGCTCAAGATCACATTTGTAGCTGCATTGGAAATCCAACTTGCAAGGTTACAGCATCTTCCGGTAACATTTTTTATATAAACTCAATCAGCTCTGCAATTGCTAAGGTACATCCATCTGCTTTGGTGTCAACACTGATTGATCTCCCTCACCAGGACTATTCCAATCCTCTCACTTGCTTCTGCATGCATGACTATCCTGAAGATGGGAGAGGGAATATGTCGCAAATGCACCATGGATTGAAGATGCTCCATGAGCTTCCCAAAGAACTACTTGTCCCATCCATTCGTGTCAATAACAATATCTACTTCCGGAATGAGCTGCTCCAGTTGACAACTGGATTTTTTATACCTACACATTTCTTTCAAGGCAAAATCTCCAGTCGCAATGCTGAGCAACCATCACTGCAGGTCCTTGCATTGGGACATCCAGTTGTATGGACAGAGGTACAATCACCATCCAAGTCTAAATTGCAATGTCTTACCCCTTTCCAGGCAGGTTTTGCAGTAGATCCTGAGTGCATCATATTGGAAGTTTCATTGTTTCAGCAGACCTACATAGACTTGCAGACTGATGTGCATTTGTGTGGCTTTACATGTGAGTAACTTCTACTTTCATTTAGGTGACTACTCATAGGCTTCTAGTGACATCACAGTCCTTTGCTGCAAAAATGCCTAACCCCTTGCATGGAAAGTCAAATGGTTGACTTGTCCTCACTGTTCCCCTCATAATCTTCATGGACGATGTCTCTGGGAATATGTCAAAGCAGTGGAACAAACACCACACAGTGTACATGTCTAATGCCTCCATGCCATGTGAGATGCTTGAAAAGGAATTCTGTGATCATTTTGTGTCATCCTTGCCACATGCTTCACCCATGGAGATCATCAAAGCTGTCAAAAAGTCAATCAGGTTTGTCTCTTTCAATTTCTTGAGTCAATTTGTCATGTTGATGTGTCCGTCAGGGCTGCTGCAGATGAGGGCACTGTTGCATATGACTGCAAATACAGAGATGAGGTTATGCTCATCCCTTATGGCCTATTCGAAGCAGGAGATAACCCCATGCAGGTGGAAGAGTGCAGCCATGGCAGTTTGCACTGCAATTACTTCTGTCACACATGCAAAGTAGGAGAGACAATATCTATGAAACAGTCTGATGAAGGATATCTTAAACTATTCGAAGTAAGCCTTTGTATTTGCTGGTGATCAATTTTCTGAAGTGCTGCATCAGATTGGAGAGCTTCATCGACCAGAAGAAATGATTCAGCAGATTCTTGAGCAGATTGAGCTTTTGAAGTTGTCTGGTGGAACTACAAAAGTCCAGAATGCTGTCTTGTCAACTGGCACCCATGACACTACCTCTGCATCAATTGTGAACCGCCTCCTGGAACTCGGGAAGTGTCTGCGAAAATGAGAACCTGGGAAACCAGCAATCAATGAATGAGAAGTCCAACAGACATTGGAGAGGGAGTTCGAGGAAATGCTGGGCGGTCTCTCTGTGGAAGATCATATTAACCCTTTGCTTAGCATGACAGGGCTCAACGTCCATCAAGACATGCCAACAGAGATTCTCCATACCATCCTCCTTGGTGTCATGAAGTACTTTTGGGGTCAGACTATCTGGATCCTCAACAAAGCACACCTCGTCAAGATATTTCAAACCAGATTGGACAATATCAACAAAGACAGCCTTAATTCACCCACTCTTGGCACAGAGTATATCTGTCAGTACAGTGGTAGCCTGATCAGCAAACACTTCAAGAGTCTTGCTCAGCTCATGCCTTTTCTATATACAATCTTGTTCCATCTACTGTCCTGAATGGATGGACCATCATTGGACAGCTGGTGGTCTTGCTGTGGCATATGAGAATTGATGATGTTGAGGAATATCTGGTATGCTACCTTCCCCAACCCTGATTCACGAATACAAACTAATTTCAAGTCTACAATACCAGGCTTGTCTCACATGCACTATTGACGATTTCCTTAATATCTCGGTTCAGTGTGTGCCTAGCATTATCCTCACCAAATCAAAATTTCATTTTTTACTCCATATTCTGGCCTATATCCAAAGGTGTGGGCCACCTATCTTGTTCTTGACTGAACACTTTGAGTCCTTCAACCATGTCTTCTGACTCAGCTGTGTTCATAGCAACCATCAAGCTCTGAGTCATGGCTCATGCAATGTGTTTGCGTATAATGATATTCTTAAGCATGTTGCTACTGGGGGTTTTTGGATGGAGTTGAAAAGCAAGCAGTGGGTGCATGCTGCTCCAGGTGTCCTCAACTATATCACCAATCACCCAGAGCAGTGGCACCTCTTGGGTGTTCCCACAGTGCACAAGAATCATCCAGGTGAGTTCATTGCAACATGTCCATTCTTAATTCTCATGTATATAATTTTTGAGGCATGGCAACAGTTCCAACTTCATCAAAGACCTCGCCTGTGCCATGGACATCAACACACTCGAGCATGCTCCAGCCAACTATGAAGTCAAACAATGCCGTATTTCAAGTGTCTTTGGTCATTGCTGTGAATGGGGACAAGGTCACCATTGAAAAATATGCCATTTTGTGTGGCAATGGACAGCTGCCTACTGAAGTGAGGATTTTACTTTTGCCATGCTGCTGTTATCTTATGCAATTTCAGGTGTCTATTGGAAAGATCATTGAAATTATTGTTTCAGAATCTAGCCCTTGTCTTGCAAGTCACATTATCGTCTGGCCTCTTCATTTTCTACCTGATATCCACCCCCAGTTGCAATTACCTCAGTTGCAACTTGCTGATGAAGAGCACTTGCTATTGCCCTCAGTAAGAGTGGCCCATTCTTCATTCTTTGCAAATAGCTAATTTAGACTTCAGAACATCTTATCTGCTGTAAACGTACAGCATAACTGTGTGTCATTGAGCTGTGGTGAGTTTGTATCTGTCAACATACAACAAGAATGCACTGAGATGACAAAGACCAAGACATTGCTTATGCATGAAAACACCAGCTGTTTTGTTTTAAATGCCCATTCACTGCACAATTACGCCCTCATATCCCAGGTCATCCCCCACCCCCTTCACATGGCAATGAGCCTCCCTTATTTGCCAAACTCACAGGAAGTACAATTAAAAGTGGCAAGGGCTGTCACAGCAAAGAAGGCTGGAACCACAGACCCAGCTGAATGTGCTGGTAGTGCCCCCCCAGTATTTGAACGTGAACGCACTACCCGTAAGCCCAAGCAAGGTGGGAAGAGTAAGAAGGCACAGCAAGTAGCTGCAGGTCCCTCCTCTCAACCACCTATGCATTCATCCTCAGCACCACAACCAGCACTCCACCCACTCGCACATCTGACATTCTCTATCCCCATGATACCAGTACATTTAACTGCTTCCCATCCTCCTCCAATGCCAGCATATGCAGGCGCCTACCATTACCCAATGTACCCATCACCATATGTATTCCCCTCAGGCCTCTTTATGTACCCACTTCCTTCCCCTGCAAACACTCACTTGCATGTGGGACCTTGAATATGATGGGGTCTACAGTACATACTTCTATAATACACCTGTTACATGTAGCCTCAGTCTAACAAAAATATTATTCATTGAAATGCACGATACAACTGATAAAACTGATACAACCTATTTATAGTATAGACAGTGGAAACAGACAATATCAGTTGGGTTGAGACCAGTGAACTTTGCCACCACTCACAACAGATTCACAAACCAAGATCAATTCCATTGCAACATGACTGCCAATATCAATATCCATGCATTCCATGTTGAAAAGGCTACTGCTGCCTCTTATCAGATTGGAGATTCAATAACCAATGTCGGCCAGCTGAAAGCCTGTCTCCAGTGCCACGCTGCACTCAAGTTTGACAGAGAATGGTTACAAGCTCCTGACATTCATCCTTGGATTCAATTCTGTCCTTCTAGCTACAAGTAAGCATGTTGCTGTTAGCATGAATATTCATTCATACCACCTCCAGATATACATGGTACCTCCATGCTTGAAGATAACTTGATCACCCTCGAGAGCGTGTATGGTTTGGCGGACCATATTCTCGCTAGCATTCCCTCCCAGCAGCTACAGCTCTCTGATTCTCCCTCACTCGCAGCAACCATGACCCAAACCTTGGCGAGTCCTGCCCATTTAAAGAATCAAGAGTTGATCAACCTGGTGCTATCAATGAACAATGCCCTCAAATTTAAGGACCAAGTGAGGGAAGAACAGCAGGCTGACTTTCACACAACACTGGAGAAGTTTCAACATGATCAGCTGTGGAGGGAGGAGGATGTGAAACAAGATTTCCAGTGATACACCAAGGATGTGGAGCGACAGTTGAAGGACACTGGGCATCAAAACAACATCCTCAAGCAAGAACACAACCTTGACCAATCATGAATCAAATTCTTAGAGGACAGGCAACAAGAGGACAGACTGTGGATTAAGGACCTGGAGGATAGCCAACAACAGAACAACTCACGGATTAAGGACCTGGAGGGATCACTTCTTGAGGAGAAGAAGATCTGGGTGGAGGAGAGGGAAGCTAGGGAGAAGGAGAAGACATCCATGCTAATGAGGATCCAGGAGATTGAAGATGAGCACATTGAAACCACTTGGTGGGTCAGCAGTGCAGTAAGTATCAAATATTTAATGCAATAATGATGCTTGAACCATTGGTTAGGATACCAAACTCTTGGATCGTGTTTTACTCCACCACTTACTCAATCTCGCACAAGTGAAGCTAGCCACCATGTCTGGACTTCCCAAGTGCGAGAATGCCTTTTGTATCATGCAGTCATTCCTCTGGAGGGAGGCACTGGCTTCCTCCCAGACAACCGCTGAGTGCTTGCAAACCACCCATACACTGTTGAATGTACCAGGGACATCCCTTGATGCTGCCACAAAAGATTCATCTCATCCACCACCGGGATGACTCTTGTGGTCCAAAAACCATCAGAGATCTGTGAAATGGGAGACAGTGTAGTGCACCCTAAGTATGTATCAAAGGACGCATATAAAAAATAATCGCGTGACACACTGTCACTGATAATCACTCCGGACTTCATGCTATCTTAGAGTATGTCAATCCTGTATCCTGGTCCAGCTGATTTCATATCATGTATACATTCACAACATCATATTTTTAGATTTTTTTCCTTCAGCACAAGTTAGGGGTACGAGTAGGCAGATTTTACCAATGTATGCATATGCCAATGGATTTTCAGTCACATGTCAATGCATCACATTTGGGCTGACTCAGGAGTTTCTTTGTTGTGTTCATTGCACAGTGCTTGCCTGGTGATTATGAGCTATCTCAGTCAATTCCAGCTCCAACAGGCACCTGTGCCTGTGTTACCTCAAGCTGCTACATCTAGCCCACTGTCATCCCCACTTACAGCTTGAACACCACTTCAGCCTGTAACCCAAGGCAAGGTCAGATGATGGATTGAATCCACAGAGTCACTGGAGGCTGAAATTAAGTGTCTCAAAACTTGTGCTACAGATGTTTGCAGGACTAATGGATTACCTGATGATACATTAGATCAATTTACTACAGTAAGTCATCAGGATGTACAGTATAAGCAGTTCTTAACTTCAATCATGCAGAAATCTGAAAAGGAGATGCTACCAAACATTATGGGACATCTCATTGCCCTAGACAAATGAAAGGCAAGAGATGATGCTCGTGAGCTTGTTAACTCGGTGGAATTCAAGGTACAGGTCTGACTCCTATGTTTACTATACTCTTACATTGCTTCAAGCAATCACTCACCAACAGGCTTTGTGCCTGCTTATTATCTCCAAATCTCTCAGGATATGTGACGCACTTGTCTCAGAACCTCTTCATGAGTTTTTTTATTCTTATCTGATGAATAAAAATGAACAATCTTTCAGGAATTTGTAAAGAAACACCCTTCTGTATTCAAGTTACCCCTTGTCACCCTGCAGGATCTCGAGCTCATGAATAAGTTGGACTCAATGATTAAGGAACTGCTTATGCAGCAGCATGGAAGCATGAAACAAAAGGTTTGTCAATTCCTGAGCTGCCATTATATTTTTAATGCTTCAAACACAGATTGTTACTTCCGCCAATAGAGGATCAAATATTCATGCACTTTGTCGGTCATTATTGTGTAACTGCACCAAGATTACTTCAGCACACTGGTCTCATGTGGCCTTTCTGGTAAGTCAATTCATGACTCCACCATGTTTTACACTCACACCAATCTAGTGTTCTTTGCTGATTCAATTCCAGACTGTTGTTGCAGAGAGTGCAAAGCTTCAAGAGGAAGTCACTTCAAACAGTGACCATGCACATGTGCCAGCAGATGCAGAAGGCAACGATGTTGATCCCAGTCCTCTGGCAACCACACAGTGCACTTGGACATTTAATCAATATTGGAGCTATATCAACATTCTTCTAGATGAGCTCAGGGACAATGCTAGGAAGAATACATCTACAACTCAGGCAGCCAGAGAATTCACTAAAAAGTGTGTTTCACTGCTTCTCCATTAATTTGATCTCATCATTGATTTGTATAGATTTTTCACAGAGGTCCTCCGAGTGGACTTATGAAAATACCCAAGTACAATGTCCCTTGCACCATCCCTCAACTCTGTGACTGTGGACTGGCAAAAGATGATTCATAGCAAACTTATTTGGTGATTGTTCTGTCATGTCCTACTATACTTTAGATACACTGTGATAATAACAATGAATTGCTCCCATATTTTGCGCCATCACTGCAAGTCTATCTACAACATATATAAGCATGAGATACTACCAGCGATGGTGTCCACCATGTCATGCTGATATTAGTTGAATTTTGTTGTCACCATGGTATACATGCAATGGTGATGAAGTGTCAATGGGAGCTGATGTTAACATTGCATACATGTTATGGCACTAATATTGTGGTATCATTTCACTTCCTTGGTTGCTTGTCCCTTGCACAGACCTTGTGTGAAGGTTGGCTCAGCTGTCAGCAGTACCCAGGAAGGTCAGCATCAAGGTTATATTTGGTTCATTGTCTACACAACATTTCTGGAAATCCTTCTGTTAACCATAACCCTATGTAGATGTGTCACAATCCTATTTTCGGGTCGTGACAACGTTTGTGATGATTTTTGGTGTACTCACTTGCAGGTCCACCCTTGGCACCACTTTTGTGGTCTTAGAGACCTGGTTTCTTTGTAGAGCACAACTAGTCTGTGAGACGTACCCTCCCATGTGAGTATGAGACCTCTCACCTCCTGTGGAGCTCTTGGTGCTCCTGTTACTCCTCTTGTCTCTGTGGTGCTCTTTTGTGCTCTACAAAGAAATGAGGTCTCTAAGATTGTGGGAATGGGAGAAAAGTGGTGCCTGCCTATGTACCTAGGACCTCTCCAGTGAAGGCACGGGTATCAAACATTCTGTCATTGATATTTGGATCAGGAAGGTATCTATCATATAACACATGGCATACTACACTGTATCATACTAAAATGCATTGCAATGAAAAACATACACAGAAAAGACATGCGAGAAGAGGGTTGTCTCATTTGGATGTGGGAAGAACAAGGAGGGTTTGTGGGCTATGACACTCTCTGTTGGATGCATGTAGAATGATGAGCACCCACAGATGATTGGACATCATCGTGTGGAGGATGTCCCAATCTTGATGATGATGCCATGGGCACCATAATTTCTGTGGGAGCATCCACAGGGAGCTGAGAGATCCATTTTTTCAGGAGTGCCATGAGCACTGCATGAGTTACGCCAACAGAGGGGTCGCTCAGGTCGCTGGCTGCTGCTAGAATTAGATGATGCCACTCCTGTATGATTTGACTGAATGGTGTGAAGAATGAAGTAGTTTTTTCCATCAATGATGAGTCATTGTGAGGTGCAAGCACATATCCCTGCTTTGCCAACCAGGGATCAGCACCTGAGGTCTCAAATTTATCAACCCACAAGGGCCTCCTGCCCTCATCTTTCATGAAGCTGCGTGGCCCATCAAAGGTGGTCACAAATTCAACAAAGATAAAAAACAATGACTCCAGGTCATCACTTGCTGTGTGTTGGATTGTTGCACCCTTTGCAATACCCTCCCGGAGAAGACAAATTGACATATAGGGCCTAGTACCCTTCAGATAACATGCTCAGCCATGTGCCATGCCGTGAAAATTGTAAGTATCACTCACCGTGCCCTCTGAAGGAACACTAACAGCGCCTTCTGCAATAATGCGAGCATGATCAAAGTCAATAAAATAACCTTGTCCATCATGGATGATAAAATTATTTGGACTCAAGTCTCCATGGAGGACGTGACTTGCGAGCATTAAACTATGAGCTAAACACTGATGGGTCAGTCTCAGGATTCAATTTCAACACACTTGAGACTCACCCGAGACAAAGTCATGGAAGGCTCTCAACAGCTCAAGCTTTGAGGAGTAGTACACAAGTGGTTCTCCACAGGGGGTCAACAGAAGGCACCAGTGGAATCTGCGAATAAACCCAGAGGTACAAACACCATGGGAAGCTCGAATATGATACATGCAGTCCGGCTCCCCATCGTAGAGGACATCCCAATGGGCCACGAGCTTGACTACATTCGGGATTCCTTCAACCATCTTGAGAATTGTCACCTCATGGTTTTTCTTGTCCTCAGCGATCCAACAGTCTTTGAGTGCATACTCCATCCCATCCGAGGTCTGAATGCGATAACAAATCATGCCACGAGAAAAGAAACCTTGGCTTCACCAAAGCACGCTCATGATTGATAGATGGGATTTATCATGGTTTTCTATCCAGCCTATGGCATTCTCCTGCAGATCAGCATGCAAGCCCTTGCAGGCAGGATTGCACATATGCATTGTGGGATCATACCCGAGGTTGTTGGTGTGTGCGAGCATTAAGGTGTTTAAAACCTTGAGAAGACACAGGATTTTCAAGGATATTGACAGGGCATGAAATGATCAGACCTGAGCGGTCAAAGTAGTGAAGGCGAAGCAGGTTATTGGTGATAGTAAAGATCAAGATGAACCGGCGCCAAGGTTGTTCTTGCATCACCAGGTACCCTTTAGTGCCGCTACCATAATACAAAGGTATGGAAGAGTCGAGTTCGCTTTCTGTGTGCTCCACACATGTGATAATATTGGACCATCACAATGAGAGGTTGCATAGATTGCAATCCACCAGAATAACATCTGGCTTCTGCGCATTGGTGTTGTCCAGGACAGGAGTATTACAGAATTGGGAGGACCAAATACACTTCAGTGGGCCACCAATAACGTTCATGGCACTAAAGGGGAATGCAGCAGAGGGATTGGGGAAAATTTTTTGTACATTGCATGCATGGCAGCTTGCACGACATTGAAGAGGAGGGTCCACTTGCCCTCTGTCATTGCTGATGCCCAAGGCCACTTCTTGCTGGGGTGCTTGTCATCGTATCCTTTGGCACTGAAGCTCTTGTCGGTTTCAGGTGTTGTGAAAGATGAATCCGGTATCCCCACTTCTGTATCGGTCAATGTGGCCGACACCATGCTCATCTGTGCGTGTGGTTGTGTCTTTTGTGCCCTGCCTGCATTTCGTCCCTGTCCCTTCTGTACCTGTGCCTTCTTCTTCTGTTTTCTGGAGTCTACCAACAACTTCAGCTGGACATTCCTGTTATCGAACAGCCATTCTGCTTTTGCGCCATGGCATGCAGCAGGTTGAAAGATAGACCCACTCTTAACCCTCTTCCCTCCTGGCCCAGACTTGAAATAGTAAATTTTGTTGAGAGATGCTGGAGTGAAATTAGTCTGTAAGATAAGGGTATCCATAACAGACTTGGCATCTTTGGGGAGTGATTTTTCTTCCCATAAGATGGTGCCGATGAATTCTTCCTCCAAGAGCTTATCCATAGCAATCTTGTTCCAAGGTTCAGGGAGTGCATTGCAGGTACTGACCAATCCATAGAGGCATTTATGATAAGAAGTTGTGCTCACTGGTTGTGGCAGTGGCATCATGGGAATGGTTGGTAGTCAAGTGGAGTAGTTGAACAGTTGAGAACATCTCACTAATTATGGAAACACTTCTGTGTGCCATGTATGGGTAGCATCATGTTATGAGTGACCTGGTTGAACACATCAACTAACCATACGTCATCTTGTATTCATATGCCAAAATGTAATTTTGCATGATTTTTTTCGATGATTATCCCACACACCAAATCGGACATGAATCATGGTGTATTTTCTACACACAGCAAGTGATCAGAACATTGTACAAAAGCATAGTATCAAGACAACAGACACCTTGGATTTACCTTGGAATGGCCCCTCCTTCAGATGATCCTGGCACTGCATTGGCAATGGGACTCCTGCTCCCGCGATGTCCATCTGTCCAAGCCTCGTGCTGATATGCATGCTAGTAGCCAACTTGACCTTCATGACCGGCTGGATGCATGTGTTCTCCATGGATGTCTGATGGGGGAGGTCCACATGAATGGTCATCCAGAAGTTCATGGTCTGTGTACCGCACATCACAATAATATGACTGTCTATTCCCACTGGCATCATGATAACCTGGGTTCTCATGGTAAGGAGCATAAGCATATCCTGGGTAAGGTTCACCACAGTCACCATAATACAAATATTCCCTCTGATAAGGGTACTCTCCTCCAGGTTGTGGTTGCCTGGCATATGCATGCCGGCCCAAGTCTTCATGGTACATGTATGCACCATGTGGTGCATCACTGGGGTGATAATCATCATCTGGGAGTGCGGGAGAGCTGTCTCGATGAGTGTGCAGGTCACCATGAAGGTATTGAGTGTCGTGAGGCTCACAGGAGTGATTGTTGTGTGCCCCACAAGGGTCAACATGGTGAGGTTCTGGTGCATCAAGGTTAGAAATGATGGGGCTAGGACAAATATCCTCAGATGGGGCACATGGTAGATTTTGTGGTAGTGGGGGAGGCACATCTTGGACATGGCCAGACTGTCCATTACCACCTGTGTGTTCAGCAGGAAGTTCAGTTTTACATGGGGAAGATGGTGCTGCTGGAAGAATGGGTGCTTCAGTGACTTGCACAGAGGTCGAATGATCAACTGATGTCTCAGGCTGCACAGCTCTGCTATTACTCTGCGAGTCTTCATCTTCTTGCAAGAGATGCATGGTCTTAGTGAGAGCAGATTGGCCCCCTTTAGTCACCAGGCGTGCATGTTGCACTGGGCTTATCTTAGTAAATCTTCGGACATTTATGTAGAGCATTTCGCAATGTCAGGACATCCATCATGCAGGCGCATTGCTGTGTTGTCTGTTTAATTATCAGTCAGGATCACTACTGAACTGAGATAACTGTCAAGACTTACCTATAGCAGGTTGTGGTTGCTGTTCTTCGTCTCCTGAGAACCCTACTGTGAGAGGAGACAAGCGCCCTCCTTTGGCATGAGCCTTGCCTGTGGCTTTTGCACCTGGCTTGTTCTCAATGGCCATCTCCTCCTCTAACCCAATTGGTCATACACGCTTCTTCATAGCTCATACAACTCCTGTATCAAGCTTCCATGAACGTGAACATGAAAAATCACCATAGTTGGCATTATCCTCACTATGGATTTCACCATTGGATGAGTCAAGAGGCTCCTCATCAGGCTTCTCGACACCATCTGTACTGGACAGAATTTCTATGGGAGCTGGCACTGGTTTAGTAGGGAGTCACTTTGCAAGCTTAAATGGATGTGATGGAGGAGGTATGAGTACCTCAGGATGCAAGTTGGTTTTCTGGATGGTTGTTGTGGTGTCTTTGGCCGCAATACCTGTAATATCATCCTGAGTGTGCACTGACACGGGGACCTTTGGTTTCTTCTTCCTGGTAATGGCAGAGCTGGCTTGAAGGCATGGAGGGCCACCATAATCAAATGTTCCGTTAACAAACATCTGCCTCACATTTGGGAAAATAGAGTCTGCTGGAGGGGCCTCGCCAATGATGACAGGCTCCTTGGAGGCTATCACTGTGCCTGTCAAATTATTATGAGCTAAAGTGGTCTAATAAGTGTATCAGCACATACCTCCTATGGTTTTGGTTACCTTAATAATGCACATCATCTTTGCCTTCAACAAATGAGCAAGCACATTGACTTCACGTTGTGTCAGTCCCGCGACACCTTTACTCTGTGAATTGATGTTATGAGATTCTCCTGGCTTCAAACTCAAGTGTGCAGGATACCCCTCAATGTGTAGATGGTTGTTAGCGAGGGAACTAGGCATCAGGATCCACAGGAAAGGTCTGTTGGCAAACTTCCCACCAAGGTCCACTGAGGAAAAAATGTCAGGACCTCATAAAACCACGGGACATGATGTGCTACATACCAACTTGCTTGATGAGACCAGCCTTCAGTGATTTCAACACATCCTTCTCCTTCTCTGACTCAGATGAGCTCACATCCAGGATCTCTATCAGCACCTGCTCTTGATCTCCTTCCATGCCCTTGAAAGCCTGCTCCACAGCAGACAGTGAGATGGTGTTGTACACATGTGCTTTGATATGCCCGATGATGGCATCATCACTAGCTTGGCAGTGCTTTTCGAAAAACTACAGAGGTGTTAATACATAAAATACTTTCAAGGAGGGTAACACTTACACTGCCAGTGCTGGGCATCATGTGAACATGGCCTAGTGATGCATCTTCATTGACAATGTTACCACACATGATGATGGTGGCCTCGAACCCTTGCCTAGTAGCAGCTCCATCAAGCTACAGGTAAGGTACTCAACTTATCAGAAAATATTACAGAATTGGAATGAGATTACTCACAATACTTCCTACCCTCTTATAAAGTTTCTGGAATGATTGAGTGCATTGCGCAATGGTTTGATTATCTGTCAGCATGTTGAGTGATCCGTAGATATTGAGGATGTCCTGATAAGTGTCTGGGTAGCTTCTCTTGAAGAGCTCATAGCACTGACAGCGAACACCAGTGCCTGTAAGATCAATATGTGGCACTGAGCAAAAAGCACACAGTATAAATGAATCACTTACTTGGTGTCATCAAACCATCCTGAGGAGGAGTGCCATCACCAAGCCTTACAAGTTCCTGGCACATCCGGTCCTTGAAGTACCCTGCATAAAGATTCCAGTAGTTGGTGCTATTGATCACTCGACCTTGACTCTTCATCCACAGGTTGATTACCTGGTAGGATGGCATATTCATTGTAGAGACTCGCGCCTCTGTATGCCTGTAGAGCCCGATATTGCGATGTATCTGCATGCAGTTCACAGCACAAACTCGTGGCATCATTCCCTATATCATTCCTTCACTCAGCCTATACATGTGTGATCTTCCCGCACATCACGCAACGCGCATGCTACTCTCCCACGATGCATTCCCGGGCGCGTCCCACACGCTTTCCCACGCCTCATCACCCATCATCCAGGAGCATCCATCCATTGTCCAGCAAGTCCTACTGGTACGTTTTTCGCATTTATTCTTATCATGACACCATATTCCACCATGGACCCTTACTTACATATACCTTCTTCATTCCCGTGCCTTACTTGTGTTGGCTCCGCATCATGGGAATGCGCTTAGTTGCCTTTTGCATGATAGTATTCACATTTTTTATGGGGGAGTTAGCTACCACTTAGTTTCCAGTTAGTATCCCTTAGCATCCCTCAGCATAGTGCATGCATTTTTGAGCCATAGTCAGTAGCATTTTTGACAATCACACTCTATCATCATTGCATTTGTCGTCCTCACACCCATCAGTATCAGTCATCATCTTCCTCTAGTTCCCATTGCATTCCTAGCCCTTTGCGCACTTTCACCTATTAGTGCGTGACTTTCCCATGCTTTGTGCATCCTACCACTCTCTGCGTGCACCTTCACCTTCGCACGCATGACTTTCCCACGCTTCGTGCGACCTGTGGATGTGTTGCACTTGCTTCCCCTTGGGTCAAATGCACTTGCCTTTGCAAAGTATAGCAGCCATAGGCAGAGCTGAGATGACCACACATATACTCTGACTTGGCATCCCTTGTAGTGCCATAGCTTAGTAGTTGATACCTTCATTGTATTCTTTGCAGTATCATTGACAATGGCATCCAAAGCAGCACACCCTTCTTCGAGTGCAGAGTTTGTCTCTGATGAACATTGACCAGCAATGGGAGCATTATCATCATCCATCATAACATCAGACCCAACTTGAGATATTCCAGTGGCTGATGGACTGAATGTGACTGCACGGTGACGTGGCACACCAGCAGAAGGCAGAGCCAAAAGCTCAAAAGGCTTGAGGGGAGTTGGTGGGATGATATGCATCATCAGAACAGCTCCTTGAGGTGGCAAAGAGTTTGCCGACACTACAGATGAAAAATTTCAGGGCCCATCTGACCCATGCATATCGGGCTGCAAACCTCCCTGAGAGCTTGGGCCTGCAACTGTAGGCATGAGAAGTGGTGAGGTCGGTAACTGCAAATACGAAGCAAGTGGGCTAGGGGAGAGTCTGGGAGCCTCGTGTTCCATCAGAGGTGATGGCATGGGCCACAATGGCCAAACTCCAGATGGTATGGTGAGAAGGTTATAAGGAACCATGGAGTTTTGATCAAGAGCACCGTACTGGGGCTGCTGGGTGAATACGTCCAAATTTTGAGGCATGACTGGCTGCAGCTGCTGGCTAGTGGGTGCCAATGTGCTAGAAAATAGATCTTGAGTCTGTGCAGGGCATTGAGCAGGTATGGCCTCAACGAAAGGAGAGTTGTGATGGCTGGGGTGCATCAACTCTAGCAGCAAGGACAAAGTCAGAAATCTGGAGAAAAGATCTTTGATAAGAATTGCCAGATGCAAAGGTATTAGTGGTATAGTCGCTGGGAGCGCAGGCTGCTTGACATTGGATAGCAGCATCCCTTGCGATACCAACATTGCGTGATGTGGGCTTGATTTTGCTGTGTAGTCTTGATGGAGTGAGTTCTGTTGGTGGATCCTTGTATTGACCACCTCCAAACTGTTCCTGCACATATCCTCCCTGCATGTATTCGGAATCCATAGCAGCAGGTGATAACGCAGGAAGGTATGCAGGAGGTGAGGATGCCTGGTCATTGGTAGGGTCAGAATAGTAGTCTGATAGATTAAGCTTCATGCCCTTTGCGCAAGATCAGAAAAAATGGCATGTAGCAACGAAAATACTCACTGGAATTGCAGATCCAAAAGGTGGGTAAAAAAAAAAGGAGAGCACAACACCTCATACTTATATCAAAATTTAAGTGTGTGTGAAGGAAGTCCTTAATTTTGAGACTAAACAAGTTAGAAAAACAGAGGTCTAGAAGCAAACAACATACCAGACATCATGGAGGTCCACTGAGGAGAGTGTAGACAGTGAATTGGTGAACCTCTGGAGGCTCCAGAGGCTCCAAAGGGGGCTTGGTATCAAATGGCTTCATGACTAAAGATTTCATTAATCCATGGCTGAAAATCTACTTTGTGCCCAAGACAACACAATGTCAGAATTAGGTTAGTCCCAAAGTATGACCTATGTACATCTGCTATCTACGTTTGATGATAGGACGGACTTTAATCAACATCTAAGGCGCTTCACAGGGTGACTTTCACTGTCACTAAATTGCAACTCTGACTCGTCCTCATCATTTGCACTGCCAGTCATGTCATCATCCTTGGAACTGGATGGTCTCCCCTTGACAGAAGCGATGTGTGGGATAGGATCGCTGATATGCACAGCAAATGGTTTTGGAACTGCTTGAGAAGCTGGACGAGGAGGTGGTCGTGTGATTTCCACAATAACTTGGGTGTGACGACAAGAAGTAGGTAAAGAAGAAGGTAAACTAAGACGAGGAAGACCCTTTCTGTCAATTTGACCATCAGCAAATGCATGCTGCCCATGGGAGTGCAAAGAGCAAGCTGAGGGGGCTTCTCTGATTATAATGGGGTCCTTTGAGGTAGTGAGATGTGTACGAGCAGCATCACTCTTCACTGCTTGGATGGTGAGGGTGCCTGCCTTGAGGTGGTTGACGAGATTGACGCGATGGTGGTGGCTCAGATCGTGGATGCCTTTGGTGCGAGAGAGAGAGGGGTGCAGCTCACCGGGTATCAAGGTATCATCAGGGTAATTGGTAAGGACATACCCAAGGTGAGCTAGTTCCTTTGGGAGAGTTTTCCAAGGGAAGTCAGCACTTGTGCACCCATGGAGCATTCCACCAAGTGATGCTGAAATGATTTTTAGATAGGATGAATGTGTCATGATTAATCTTACCAGTAAGTGCCCTCATCCCACCCATAATACAAGGTATCCCATTGAGGTTCTTCCATTCTTCACTGAGGCAGGAGCCTCCAGAGACTTCAGTGGGTAGGGTGTCCTCTGTTGACACAGCTACATCGACAAGCTAGAAGCAGGTCAGTAATGTTTGAACATCCAATTAGACAACTACTCACAATCTGAGAAATAGAAAAAGATTGTGAATCCATGAGCATGGCAGAATCAATGAGGCCACAGGGTGAATTTGATGTGCTGTTGGTCATGGCCATCTTGCAGGAGGTAGTGCTTAGACAGTGTTTGAAAGTAGCACCAGCTCTAGATAACAATCAATTGATAATGTGCAGACCATGTGCAAGAGAAACCTTTGGAATGAGGAAAATTCTAGTAAGTTCAAGGAAGCTCAAAAATTTGAACTTTGAAGTTTGAAGGTATGCCACCACACTGGCAGCAGAGCTTTCCAGAAATGGTAATATGTAGTGCCTCCCGACTTAATGAAAAGGCAGGTGCCTTCTACATTCAGACATTTTCACTTCAGTTTGATGTGCATCAAGTCTCCGGGACATGTGCCTACAGTAGTAATGAGTTAACATTTCTGTTTAAAATGTGCAGTTTTTTTGAAATGCTCATTTTCTCAGTTATCAGAGCCTCCAGAGGCTGTCAGACTACAAGGGTGACATTAAAATAAAAATTACCCAGAACAAAGTCATTGCTTAACTACTACATTCATTAAATAATTCCCATCTCCAGTGTGTTGAGATTGAGAATGAGGCAATATAATGAATGTTGGAAGCTCTCCATATCATCCTCTTGCAATCCTGTAAGATGAAAACCTTGTAAGACTGCCATAATCTCAGCTAGCACCCAAACTCTGCAGTCATAACTGTTCATCTGCCGAGGTTCAAGCTGGAAAAATGTAGTTAGTAAGGACTGAGACTTCACAACAAATAAATTTACAATAAGTGGATGAGCTACCCATTCTCCAAGATCAAGTGATACCACAGGGTGGTGTCGACAAGCAATAGATAGTAGATGAGACACAAGTGTCATGATAGCCTATGTGGATAACATCAGTATTCCTGCATATACTATAATAATGCACTCGCCTTGATGTCATGTTGCCAAGGGTGCTCCTCAGCTAAACTGTCAAAAAGATAGAATTTCCCGGAGGAACAATGGATAATACAGAGTACCCAATGACCAACAGGAACTGGCCGATGAATGGGCAATATCCATACTTCCTTCTCCCAATAAAGCATCCATGAAGTTTGACACCAGAGGATCTTATCAGGTGCATTGTATTGAATACATGGGAGGTCGTGAGTAGAGATAATGGCAGTGCGCTGCACAGCATGTGTGGACATGTAGGCATCATGCAGCAAGATTGCACATCCGTTGACACACACATCATTGAGGCATGCAGTAGGGGAACCAAGGAAGGAGATATCCCTTGGATCGAATACTTGTTCTGGGAAGCCATGCCAAGAGGGCCATATCTTAGCTGTACCTGACCCTTGCACAGCAAAACTCAGATCCTTGTAGGGCACAGGTGATTCATCAACTTGAAGTATCTATCCATGGTTTCAAAAGAGCAAAGAAGATGGAAGATGGTGGCATACCTCTGGAATTGCCCAACAAATGGTAATGCTGGCTTTTCCCACATCGCCAATATCTTCTGTATCTTCATTAGCAGTGGTGTCCTCTTCAAGGAAGTCAGCAAATGCAATTTGATGTGCATCGACATCTGATGGCCCTGCTTCAAAGTCTGGGATGTCATCGTCTTGGTGATCAATTTCCAGTGTTAATGCATCATTAATCAAACTGAGGTTGGCTTCGCTGGTTGCACATCCTGTAAGTGTCTTCATGACATCTGAAGCTTCTCTAGCACAACTAGAAAAGCAAGCTACAGAAGCAAATGGATTTACCCAGCATGATTGTAGCTAAAGAGAGTGGTCTTGGCAGGTTTGGAGCAAGAATATCAACAGTTGGTCTATTGAGATTGTCAGAAAATGGCAGAATGAAGCACTGGAATCACTTACTTGCATCAGAAGAAAGTGCGAGCTCTAAAGCAGAGAGCTCATCTCCAAAATAAGAGCACAGGTTGTCAGCTTCAATACTGAGACACTGCTGTTCCTCTTGACATTGATCATGTTTGAGGAGGGCGCAGATTCCATCTCTCACGTCTGAATCATTCAACCAGCATGGTATGTCTCCTGCAGAGGGCATAATCCAGACATCCTCCATTAGGGTCTGGTCATTGCACAAATCTGCAAGTTTGGTCAGAAGTGCCATTGGAAGTGGTATCCCCCATGAAGGGTTGTAGAGGCTGTCTAGGCACTCACAATAAGAGTTGAACTTATGAATAGCAGTCATCAGTGCTGGTTGTCTCTTTGCTATTGCTTTATGAGTTTGTTGATGAAGCTTCATGCCTGATATGTTGGAATTAGTTTGAAAGTAAAATGATTGATTTGATTAGGTCTTACCCAAAGCTTGCTGAGCCCCACCGACCGCCCTGTCCAGTTTATCCCACTCGAAAAGACTACCAATTGCACATTTGCATATATTGATCTTGAGGTCATGTGCTGTTAAGAACCATGCTCAAAGGAGAGATAGACTGACTCAGAGGGGCTTGGCCTCAGCTCATACGCTGTGCCCCTTACCCGAGTATGTGCCCTTCATTTCATATGAGGTCCGATGATGGTCCAACAAAGTCCAGAGGAGCACGGGAAACATCTGGAGGAATGCAGGAAGTGTTCAGGAGAGTTCCCACTGCAAGGTAATACTTCTACAGGAAACAGGATGGAAGGATAGGAGGTCCGAAGGTCTGGAGGACAGAAGGACAGGATGTCTGAAGGTATGGAGGGCAGAACATCCGAAGGACAGGACATCCAGAGGTCCAGAAGGAATAGGGGCTACATTGGACAAAGTCTGATGTAGAAGCAAACAGAGGTAGACTACCCTAAGGTAGAGTTGGAGAGAACAGGGATTGGACCTAAGTCCGGAAAGAGGGTAAGTGCTGGAAAGGCAAAGCTCTGGCCTAGGTAATCAATCCCTAGGCCTGATGAGTAGGACAGACTGAGGTGGACCAAAGTCCAAGAGAGAATTGGGCAAGTCTAAGTTGATATTCAAACTAAGGAAACTACAGGAGTATCTACAGGGGTTATATACTGGAGACTATCTGAGGGGATCAGTAAGCAAAGGAGCAAGGCTATGTATGAGCATGTGGAAACACATTAGTAAGTAAGACGGAACATAAGTAAATGAACTCAGAGATGAAGACTCATACAAGGATCAATAAGCAAGACGGAAGAAGAGGTAACCAAAAGCCAGAAAGGCAGAGATGTCTAAATGGGGATAGGTGCAGGATATCGGACAGAGGGTGGGAATAGGTCCGGAGTTAATATCCAGAGGTCCAGAGATCTGGGGATCCGGAAGACAAGGTGGATACAGGACCAGGATATCAGAAGGTGGATAGAGTCTGGAATCCGAGACGAGGTGAAGTCCAGATGTCTTGCTGGATGGAGTGTACATAGGGTGGATGGGACAGGGGGTTATGGTTCAGGCTAGCAGTGGAGATCCGATGGTCCGGAGCTCAGGGGTAAATCTGGAGTGTAGTCAATCCTGCTGAGGTGTGGAGCACACAGCGGAAGGGGATCTGGGAATGAGTTGGATATGAAGTGGGGTCCAGACATAGGCTCGGAAGGCGTGGGAATATGATGCAATGTGGGTCCGGATTGTGGGATATGACATGTGCCATCAGAAGGGTATGGATGAAATCCAGATTGACACCTTGAAGCTCTGGAAACCTGTCCTGAATGTTGAGTGAAGCATAGAGTGCTTTGACCTTCTCCAGTAAATGTTGGTGGCCCCTCTCTAAACCATCAAGAGCGACCATGGTGTTATCCGATGCTGCCTCCCTTTCGAGCATGGTACGGGTGGTCTGCAAGGCCTGATCTGAAGTGGCCATATCAGCCTGTAAAGCAAGAACTATATCCAGTTCTTTTTTGAGATGTGCAGGAGCATCTGATAAGAAGCCAGTCAGCAAATAACGAAAGCGCAAATATGTATGACTTACGAGCACAAATAGATAGTTGTGAATGTTGTTGGTCAGCCCACAACAACCATAGATCTTTGATAGAGACACCACAGGTAGTGAGGATGTCCTGCATGGCATTTGTTTGAGTCTTAATGCCACGAATTCATCACTTGAACCAATCACTGAGGTCTGCACACATTTCAGCTCTGATGGCGGCTGCCTGGCAGTCTATAAGCCATAGATGTCACTGACGCTAAAGCATGCCAGAATGAATACATGAAGTTGTGTGAAAAGGAGATGTACTGACTGATGATGAACACTGAATACCAATCAGACACACAAGTCATGACCAAAGTCGCTCGGTGCCTTCTCCATCTGATAAACCGAGTCCACTGCACATATGGGGATTGTAGATAAGCTGGCATCCCCACTTGTGTCCATAGGCATGCATAGCTGTCGTTGCAAAGTGGAGGCATGAAGTAATAGAAGTGTCTAGAATGTCATACTGCAAGTTGTTACTAGGCGAATACACAATGAATGATTGAAAAGCATACCTGTGAAAGCGAACGAGATAGTACACAGCCAACATCATACAAAGTAATGACTGTTGTGTTGGTAGGAAGAAGCAAGAACAGATGTTCTAATAAGGCGACAGCATATTTCTGCTGCTCACCGGGTGTATCAATGTTTGCAAAGAATAGGGGGATGTCATGGCAGCAAATGAGTGCCATCAAACCAGTGTCATCGAAACTATCCATAGCAGCCTTCTGCTTTTTGCCATCAGCAGCTTCATATGAGTTCTTGCACTGGTCGATGACCTCATTAGGTATGAGATTGGGTGCCCATGTCATAGCAGGGTGCTTCCATCTCTTGACTATTCAAGAGCCAACTAAATCGACATACATCTTTGGTAAGAAGTATGATGGTTTGTAGAAGCGAGGACAGTCACCAGCTGAGCACCAGTGATGATGATGAAAGTTTCCATCTGTAGTGACATGAATATTGCCTCCTCAATCAAGTGCTTGGCCATACATCACTCCTGCAAAACAAGCAGGACAGTGCTCAACAAGAATTGATGTGCAACACTCCCTGTGTAAGAGAGATGCTTGAGGGTCGTGAGAGGTCATTGGAGGGCTATGAGAGGTTGTTGACAGATAGGGAGGTGAGGGCTCATAAGCAGCATGGATCTTGTCACAAGCTTGCTGAATTGCGCCTTCAATCTTTTGCTCCACCTTGATCTGGAGGGTGTCATACCACTGAACTGCACTTCCAAGACTCTTTCTGAAGGGTTCCTGGATGGCATATCCCTGAAACTCACGGTGAGCATTATCACAAGCATCAGAAGCATATGCTTACATGCGAGTCTGTTAATTGGAACCCTCAGTGAGCATAATGAGTTTTCAATACAGCTGCGAGTGCATTTACTGCATCACATGAACGTTCAAACAGTGCTCGATAAAAGGAAAGCAATTCTATAGACACTGCCATCCTTGGCTGCATGGGTGCAGTGGGGAATAAACCATGGCGAATAAGGACTTGTGGGAGTGTGGAGCAATTGCAGCTCAGGACGTTGGTTGAGACAAATCCTAAAGTTAAGTCAAGCTAGGCCCTCAATGACAAGAAGCCTGGATACACTTATGGTCAAAGAAGAGGCAAACAATGGTTGTGCACTTTTGAGCACATGAACTAGTAATGCATGCAGATATGATAGGATGCAACTTCTCAAGTGGTTGTCTGAAAGTTCTTGCAAGATAAGTTAAGAGAGGTTTGATTAAGGTGGGGATAACTCCTGTCCAATTTCCATAGAGCTTGTGTGATGTCTTGTCAGGAAGGATACAGCATTGGGACTCAATTGGTCATGTCTTGTCGCACTGATTCAGAAACAGTGGATGTTGAAGTTCTGGTTTAGCATGATCTGATTGATACACCCATTTGTCACCATCGTTTAATTGGTCTATAGTCATGTCAATGTTAGAACTGGTCAAATTGAGTGCAGGGGTAGTGGTTGGCTCTGTTGAACTTGCATTGACAAGTGCTTCCATGCGTAGGGCAAGTTCGCGACGTTTGATATCTGTGCCAGGGATAATGATGAAGGTTTGAGTTTTTCTCTTGTCTCGAGACTTGTGGGGACTGACAGAATGCCTCCCAAGCCCCCAGCTGGAGGCTAGCGCTGACACTTGGTCTGCACAACACATTATTGCTGGGGAGTGGTGAATGGGCGAATGTCAGAATGCTAGTACATAGACTCAAACTGTATTTAACATTATGCACATACTGGGACCATGTGGAATTGTTGTGGATGCAGCATGGTGCCTCATGGTACTTAGCCTATCACAACACAAAGTGGGTGGGTAGGGAGGTGCCCGGAAATGCGAGAGCATTAAATGGTGGATTGAGTAGTACTAGGATATTGAGAGGGCTACAGTAGAGGGGTGCAGGGAGGTGCTGGAGGCCCGTGAAGGAATACAAGAGCATGAACTATAATTAGATGGTGGGAGGGTGGGTCTCGGAGACTAGTTTCCCACAACATAGAAACCAGGTCTCTTAGACCCTTTATAGGTCCCGAAAAGTACTGCCTGAGGTGCGCAGGTCGCCCCTCCACACTCGAACAAGCGGTGGGAAGGAGCCTGGGAAAAACCCACTACTGCCGCGGCGGGAATTTCCGTCATCATGTGATCATGAGGACATTCTTGGCCCCATGGGACGGACTGAAGGAAGTCAACTTTCATAGTGAAGCAACCAACTGAACATGCATCGCGGCGTTGGTCTCGCTGCTTTTGACAAAGAACAACTATCACAGCGCTTTGCAGAACTATCTTCAGAGCTCTCGAAGACCCAGGTCGATAATCTACAGTCGCAACTAACGCAATTCCGAACTGCCCTTTCACACTTCGCAACGACACACAGAGATTCGATTCGTAGGGATCCAGCGTTTCGCCATGCATTCCAGCAAATGTGCTCGTCAATCGGCGTAGACCCGCTCGCTGGACCAAGGAAGGGCGGCTGGTGGGCAGAAATGCTTGGGATGGGTGATTGGCAGTATGAACTAGGAGTTCAGATAGTAGACGTGTGCGTGAGCACGAGGGAGAGGAACGGAGGAGTGATAGAAATGGGGGAGCTTGTACGTATGGTCAGCAAGTTGCGTGGCGTTGAGAGTGGTGTCGTTACAGAGGAAGATGTCACAAGAAGCATCAAGACACTCCAACCACTCGGGGCTGGATACGAGGTGCTTGACGTTGGTGGCGGAAAGAAGATGGTAAGAAGCGTGGTCAAGGAACTAGATGCGGATCAGGCTGTAATTCTTGCGGAAGCACAAGTAGAAGGTGGGCGGATTGTTGAAGCAACCCTGGAGAACCGTCGAGGATGGACAAGAGAACGCGCTCGAGCTGCTTTGGAGAATATGCTTCTTCGAGACGGCCTTTGCTGGCTTGATTCTCAAGATGAGCACTACGGGCGAGCCTATTGGGTTCCGTCCGCCATGCGTTGGGACGAGTAATTATGTCACTCATCAAGGTGTGTGCTATGATTATCTAGTTAACATTGACACTTAGATCGACCTGAGGGGACAGGAAGTCCAATTGCAATTGAGTCGGGTAAACTCCCAGGCTTAACTGCCAACATCCGTACTACCGCCTCCTACATTTCCATCCGTGGGATGCGGAGTATCTACGACGGTGTAGAAACACCCACTCATGACTTTGAAGTGTTTTGCATAGTGTTGGGTGACCATCAGTGCACCGCCAATCCCAGTCAGCACAGACCTCGTCTCCATTTTAGCGCCTCGTCATTGCCGACCCTCAGCTCCCTGTTCTCGTCACTGTCAGTTCGCCGCTTCCGAATGTGTCAAAACTGCTATACGACTTTCGTTAGTCTGTCAAATACAATACCCATGCTCACTCGCCTTTTTGTACCCTCTTTCCCTCCATACTACCCTACCCTACTTGGTTCTCACAACTATACAACAGTCGAAACGAAGACAAGACAGGGAGCATATATGTCATATTCTTCGCAATGATATGCTGCGCTCAATGTTTCGTCAGCTTGAGTTCCGAGTGGCTTTGTGACTGATTCCGAAACTTTCTCACATAGCGTTTTCGTTTTTCGATCACCATCCATGGGTACTGACTCTCCTGCAACTCTGATTATGTGGCGTTGTTCAGCGTATATGGGGTTTGGTGGGACTCTTCTGAGCAACGAATATCTTGCTGCTCATACATAACTTACCTTGGCTATGATATATAATGCAGGGATGTTGGGGCAGACCCTATTATGGTAGCCTCGAGATTAGAACTAACTCAGCCTGTACCGATGCACTTACCCTTGCTAATATGAAAGCAACAGCTCCTGGACTGATCTTGATATCATCTCCGGTGTCAGCAAATCAGAAAAGACGTCTTCGTGTTTCATTGTGTTTCAAGTATTTACTACTGTAGACCTTGCATTGAGCCATCGAGATATTACTTCTAGAGGGTCATCCTCATCTTCATTTACACATTGCAAGCAAGATAATTGAAGTTCAACTAGTAAACATATTGCACTATCAGTGTAATAATTTAACTCAGTGCAGATAACATAACCTTACAGACCGGACCCCTCGGACAAAATATCCTTCAGCTTGTACCTTCTCAACGCAGTATGGAAATTAATGTATCCATGGCAGCATTTGGCATAAGCCTCATAGGCCTCGGGATGCGGTTCTAGGCATTTGAGGATATTGTGATGGGCCTGCACGGTTTTCGAGATGGCTTCATAAAGAGCATCCTGTTTGGTGGAACCGCGAGAGGCTGCCACGAGTGACAGGTAGTTTGTAGTGTCGCCTTCAATTTCCTCTTTGTAGTATGATAATATGTCGCTGAATCAAGTCACAATAAATAGGAAGTTTCATATAAAATCATGAATGCGCTTACTTCGTGTGGTTTAGGAAAAACATTAGGTCCGGCATACACTGAATATATTCCTGAAGCGGGACTGTGGAGGGGAAGACAAAAAACCCAAAACCATGTGCCAAGCCCGATAGAAGCCTAGAATACTCGGGATACAAGGGAGCCTCCTTCGAGACCTATAAACGAGAAGGGTTAGAGATTCGAGCCTCAATCTCATGATTCTGGAGCATACCCCCATATCCTTGGTCTCGTATTCAAGCAGGAGCCCAGAAACGAAGTCTAGTGCAGACGTGATGATCAAGTTCGACACTAGTAGGGAGTAGTGGCGGGGGGCCTCCCGCAAAAGCACATCCCAGGCATTCAGGACTGGATCGCCCTGTGCCTGGCAATTTGAAAAACGCTCATTGAAACGGTACACATCATCCATCTTTTGTCCTCTGTTCAGAGTGTCGTCGATACAGATGCCGACGGCAGTGAAGAGGCAGATCCACATCTTAGTTGTACAGTCAGTTAGGTGGCCATAAGCGATGGTGGACATGGCCACACCAATGTGCATGTACGGGCGGATGGAATAATCTCCGTCAGACATCGGAAAGCCACGATTGATGGCCTCCTGGCAGCATTTTGTGTGCAATGTTTGGTCGATCATGACGGGAGTATATTGCAGGCCGCAACGCTGAAGAAATTTGACGATGGTCTGACGGATGTTTGCAATAACCTATATTCGAAATTAAACTCGGAATGTAGAAGCACAACAAAATAAATGCCCGTACATCGTTGTCGACATTACATGTGGGTAGATTGTCTTTTGTCGGCATTCTAGTGGACAAGAAATTTGTGAGGGAAATGGTTAGAAGTTTCATGTAGGGCCCTGATACTTATACTCCAGTACTTATAAACACTCGTAACGAAATGTGCAGCTTGCTCTGAGATATTTCTATTTCGGCAACAAATTGGTGCCACCACTTGAAAAGCCGATGGAGCTACAATTACGAAGGGAGAAGGATATAATAAGCCCTGTATCAGCGCTCAGCATCGGCAATCAAGCGGTGGTCCAGTCAGGGCCTCGCAGTATGAGATTCCGATATCTTACGTAAATGCAAGAGTTCGTGTCGCCACTTCACATGCACTGCGTGTTGGCCAAAAGTTTCAGTGGCGGAAAAGTGGCTGCCAAACTGATCAGACTACTTACCGCAGCCTTTTATTAGATCAAGTATCGGCCAAGTAGCCTGATATCAAAGGCGAAAGATGATCTTGATTCTTCAGGAGCTTCAACTTGAAGTTGCGTAGCCCACAAGAGCCAGCGCTGAGTATGTGCACAACGAGGGTACTAGTTGTGATCGCCGCAGCTTGTATATCGTAAATATTTGTTGGAACTGCCGGACTTTAGTTAAGTACATAACATGGGTGGCAGCGACGCTTAACGATCTATCGCTCGAACAAAGGCTAGTCGCCAAATGCATGTGGTCTGGATGTTGGGAACGATGAAATTACTAGCGTGTGCAACAGTCTGAAATGATTCATGAAGCTGAGTCGAATCATTTGATGAAGCTAGGACCTGTGTTGTGTAAGATGCAAGGCTAACGTTACTAACCTCCGATCCGAGTCGTGAGGGAAACTAGTGGCGGGAACAAGAGGACAGATAGAAGGTTGATATTAGATAAGTTGAAGCTCTACCGCATCGGCTCAAGTAATAATGTTTATTTTATTCAATTATTCTTTACTATATAATTTATGCTACACTAGTAGGTGTATCATTTGATACGATCCAATAACCCATCACCTCTATAATTAGAGGCACCTGCGGACCTGATAATCTTATGTCATACTTCAATTTCAAATTTTCACCAGATCTGAACCACCATCTGATCGATCTCTGATTTCCAAAGCAAGCCCGAGGTTTTATCCACATTTGTCCCTCAAACTAGTAGTACTAATAATATAATATACATAGAGTATACTATTTATTAACTAATGATCATATATAGAGCACTACTAGGCCAGTTCTCTGATCCTCCCATCAGTCATGCCACAGTTGCCTGACATACGTCTTTCTGACAATGCACAGCTCGTCCTCGGTGCTGCAGTTTGTCTCGGAGCAGTATTAGCAGTGATTGCTCGCGTTCGCCTTCCTACATCAGAAAGTGGCCTCCCTCTCCCGCCTTCCCCTCCCACTTGGAGAATAAGGGGACACTTCTTACCCCATCGCAAGTAAAGTTTTACACGTGACTTGTGCTCTTGAACTAGTGTTGATCGTGTCCATTTTTGCTCAGTCCATTTCTCACTGTAGCAGGATGGATCGACGAGTATGGTCCTCTGGTCACCATTCGCGCAGGAACTGAGAAAGTTATCGTCATCGGCCGTCACAAGGTCAGTCCACCCAAGCCGAGTTATCGTATCATGGTTCACCATCCTGTGCCAGCAGGCCGTGATGGATATCATGGAGAAACAAGGTGGATTGTTAGCTGATCGTCCTCACCTCATTGCCGCTGGGGAAATGCTCAACGGTGGACTGGCTATTGCCTTAACCCCTGCCGGGGAAAGGTGGCGTCGGATGCGTAGGTTCGTTGTACGCAACACTTCAGAGATAGCCCTAAATTCTTACTTGCTACGTGACGCAGAGCACTTCATACACATTTCCAGCCTAAAGCAGCCGAGGAATATCAGCCCCTGCAGGTGTTACACGCGAAGAAGATGGTCCTCGACATTCTTGAAGATTCATCCAATTTCCAGAACCATGCGGCAACGTGGGTGTTGGTCTAGTTTGGTGTTATGATATTACTGAAGGGTATTTTTGTAGTTACTCTGCTGCAACAATTATGAAAGTTGCATATGGGAAGACCACGCCTACATCTGCGACCGATCCCGAAGTTATAGAGGCCCTGCAGCACATCCAGAGACTTCGTACAGCCTTGCGCCCTGGTGCTTACCTGGTAGACTCGATTCCTTGGCTCAAATACCTTCCTTGGTATGGCCAGGAATTAAAACAGCAGCATGAGAGGTGCAAGCAACTCTACACCGATGAGTTGAACCGTGTGAAACTGCAAATTGTATGTATTTCCTTGCCTATCTTCACACGACGCCTGAATTGTTTCACAGCAGAGCGCCGTGGATATCGGCCCTTCGTTCGGGAAATATATGCTAGAAAACGTCCATGCCCATGGCTTGACGGTGATGGAGATGGCTTTTCTTGCTGGCTCCTTATTCGCAGCAGGATCTGATACGGTAAGTTGTCCTTTTTTTCCCGAAGATATGTGATTACAAGCGAGTGTCAGACTACTGCCGCGATATGCACCGTGCTCATGGCAGCCGCATGTTTCCCCGAGGAACAAGCCAAGGTCCAGGCCGAGCTTGATGCGGTCATAGGAAGGCGACGAGGTAGCTAATTACCTTCTCCAGCTTTATCGGGTCTTAAAGGATGGCTCCACAAAAGCACCGACCTTTTCTGATGAACAAGCTCTTCCTCGTCTTCACTCCTTCATCTCCGAGGCTTTGAGATGGAGACCTTTGGTTCCCAGCGGCAAGTTTCTTCACTGTTGGTCTTGTATTTGAAGTTTACAATGTCTACGCTATAGGGTTAGCTCACCGAACGACCAAGGAGGTGGTTTGGGCAAGTACTTTTGGAACAAGTTATCGCGCGAATGATGATTTGGCCCTTCAGGAGAACTATTGTATCCCAGCTGGAACTACGGTATTCGGCCATCATTGGTAAGCCATTAGCCTTCAAGATACAAAGGACCCGACGCTTACCGTTTTAGGTCCATCTCTCGAGACCCAGACGTCTTCCCCGAGCCTCATGCGTTCAAGCCTCAGCGCTGGATTAATGACCAAGGTGCCCTGAGGGACGATCTCAAATTTTTTGTCTTCGGGTTTGGTCGGCGGTAAGCAAGTGTCCATTCTGGCATTCCCCCTTTGACTTTCCGAGTTTCAAGCGTATGCCCAGGTCAGCACCTTGCGAATAGGTAAAGATCTCCTTCCACGAACACGATCTTATAAACTCATTTCGAGTGGCACAGATCAGTATTCATCAACTCGCTCCTGATTCTTTGGGCTTTCCATCTGGTTCTGGATTCTACAAAGCCACTGGATGACATGGGGTTCATGAGCGGGGTGTTGGAAAATGCCCGGCCGTGCACTATCGAGTTCAAAACAAGGCTTCCCGAAATGGAGCTCAAGCGTATGATGCAAGATATTGCATGAGACCTTAATGCATTGATTGGTTCGTCGCTAGTTATCCCTCTAGCACTATCACTTCGCAATATTTGCCGTGTATACTTAGGTCGTGCATTGATATTTTATCGTGATTCCCGCCGCAGACGGCCCACCTGAGAACTTATACTACACCAAAGAAAATAGACATTCATCAACTGTCTCACAATGTCAATTTTCAGACCGTCTTACAAAACCGATGGTAAACCGCCTTGGATCTTTGACCGTCCCAGAAATGTATCGATCAAGTTGATGAGAACTTACAGGTAAAGTACCTTGCGCACTGCTGACGTTAGGGCGACGTATTCGGCCTTGATGAAACGCACTGAACTACACATTACGACAGATCATGTTGAAGTTCAAGAACAATTGAATATGTGGAACTAAGTGCAGCTGCTATTTCTAAAGATTGATGGTAGCAATGTAATGATCAAGGGCTACCTCTGGTTCGTCCCAAAAAACGAAGTGGTTTCCTTCAGTCTGAAAATTGAACTTCACATCTCGTGCCTCTTCGGCATCAGGCCCGTACATTGGCTTTGGGTCAGCCAAACACTTCCTTAGTTCTTGTGAGGCCCACACTAAGATACCAGGACTCGCCCCACCACACATGTATCTGACACGTAGGTTGGGGAGGAATTTCTCCGCCAAAGCCGTGTCGAATATCGTACGTCTTACCATGATCTTGAATACGTCTAGTTGAATATAGAGAAGGAGCGTGTCTGAAGCACCGAAAGTCTTAGCAGACGTGAGCTCTGCGAGCTCCTCTGAAGACAGCTCGTGCATGGAGTGAGTTTGGTTCGAGAATTTGTTGAACTCGAGGTCAGCAATGTTTCCTGAAGTGACGTTCTTGTGTGGGAAGTACGCGGTCGCCCATTCGTAGAAAAGATTGAATCTCTTCTCAACATCGGGTTCGAACCAGAGGGCTCTATCGTAGATTGGGGGATTGGGTATACCAATGTTAATCGCAGCCACATCTGCGGCACCGTTCAACATCCCGGATATGATGGAAGATGGAGTGCGCCTACCGTGAGAAACCATGGTATGGAGATACTTTCCAAGGTCAGAAAGAATACTAGATGGCAAGGCATCGAGATAGGCTACAACTGCATGAACTGGCACAGACCCTAAAGACCATCCTATGAGCACAATTCCACCACTGGCACCTTGCGCTGGGGGAATACGTTGCTCGCGGGCAAACGTAACAAGGAAAGTAGCGATATCGACCGCTTGGCTGCGAAGGAACTCCTCTTGTCCCTCCATCGTACCGGAGGCGAGACCAGCCAAGTCCACATCACGGAAGCTAGTGGTGGGATTGTAATCACGCCTGTGTAGGCTGACTATGCGGAGACGGCGTACAGTAGCTAGAGGGAAAAGCTTCCTGAAAACACCTGCGTAAGGAATAAGTCAGCAGGACTTTATGGAGTACTAATGTAATCGCACCTCCGTTGAAACCCATGCCATGGACGAAGACCAGGGTTGTATACGTATTTCCAGGGACTTCGCCACTATCAAAGTAAGAGTAGGACACGTCATCACTGGTGGTCAGAGTTTCGAGCTGAGTTGAAGTGGGCATCTTCGAGCGGAGTGTGCATACTGATTTGAACCCCTCTTTATGAACGAAAATAGCTCGAACGTATTTGCACAGTCATGCACATGATGCATCAATCACGGCGATCAGATCCCCGGAGACACCTGGTAGCACAGCAAGTTCCTTGAAGTGCCCACTTGCGCCGTCCCGGTGAGTACGTGTCCGACTCATGCAAGCGCAACAATACCATACGATTCACCTACATACGAAGAAGACAAGATGCAAATGACGAACCATGTCCAACATAGGGTCTACGACCCCAAAGAACTCTATATGATGCAAAAAAAAAGCTCCTTGAAACAGTATCGTTAACATGCCATGAAACGTTTGCTATATATGGCGAGCTGGTTTGACTTCCTTATTGAGAGAACCGACCAGAGTGTCCACATGAGGAAATGATGCGCTCATGTCCTCGTGTTTCTCTCCTTATCGTATCTAATTTGTCGACAAACATTCGTAGATTTATGGAAGCTATCTGATGCCAGATCTTTGAAGATCATACGGTACGCCTACCATGTAGTAACGTAGGACTTTGCGCAGATGTTTCAGATCAGCGATCAGCGCTGCCACACTAGTGTAAGGCTGATAATGAGTTCGAAGGGGAAAGTGAACGAAACGTTGACAACATAAGACGTATAGTTAGAATGCGCGAGGATAATGAGACGAGACGTTTGTGCGAGACAGAGACTTTCGGTGAGTGAAATCAACCGTTCACAGAAGAGTCACCGCTGCTGATCTGATACCTGAGCTACTGTAGAGTTACGGCCATAACTCCCACCCTCACACCCCAAAGGGTGCGAAGTTATGATCGTAACTCTATAGTACGGCACAGGCATTCAAGTCCACGAGGTCTGGTATCGAAATATCTGATATGATCACTGCACCCACAAGCTTGGTGATATATCGATAAGCAACGTGTCATGCCTGAAATCAACCGGTCTCAGGAGAGTCATGGACTCATCGCCGATCTGATATTTGAGTTACGGCATAGGCATCCAAGTTCACAAGGTCCGGTATCAAACCATCTGATATGATCACTGTGCCCAGGCAGTGCTCCTCACGCAACGGTAAGTGCAGAAAGATGTTTTTGGTACAGGACAGCTTACTGTATTTGATATAAAGTTACCAGCCACGTAGAACACTTCCAGCAAAGACTTCATCATGTCTGACTCCCCAATACCTTGTGTTCCCATCGCCACCAATCTAGATACCAGTTATGGACCACTGCTTGGGAGCATATGGCTTGCCTGTATGTTTTACGGTGCAAATTGTTTGCAGATGTAGGTTTCTGTCATGCTCATGCATACGAAGACTCAGAATGGCGCATGTTTTACTTCAGCTTTGTATATTTCATCAAGTATGATCGCGTTTTAAAAGATGTATTGCTAACAGCATCTCATTGATATCATAATACGATTCGTCCAGTTATCCAAAGGACCGGATGGCACTTAAAATTATGGTAAAGGGCACGTTAGGACTTTCGTTAACACTGGCTCACATGGAATCGTGCAGGTCATCTCCATCTGGCTTTTTGACACTGTGCACCTGATCTTAGGCTGCATCGGAAGTGAGTACTCATTGCAATCAAACTGTACATCGGTTGACGGGTCGCACAGTATGGCAGTATTTAATCTCAAAATATGGGAATTATGTTTTTCTCTCAGGGACTCATCCGTATGCAAGATGTTTCATCGGTGAAGTATGTGCTAACAGCCATTCATTGTAATAGGCCTCTGTTCATCGCATTTGTTTTTTCGGTATGTAAAAACCTGGTTACCTGCTATCTCTTGTCCGGTAAAGAAATTTCACACAGGGCATGGTATCCACAATTTCCCAGCTATTCTTCACGTTCAGAATCTGGCACCGTAAGCAACCAATCCTGCATTAGTTCCACCCTTGATTCAGATGGCTTGGGCTTATAGTGAGCAGCGGACATTGGGTTTTTCCTGCTTTTTTGATCCCAGCGGCCCTTTCCCAACTAGGCAAGTTGAAAAGTACTACGCAACACCATGGAGCAACTTGATCTAATGACATTATGACATCTGTCTTACAGTGCTATGCTGCTGTATGTATCTTCAATCCGCTATACATATCCATGCTGATTGGGCTTTCAAATAAAGTTTATACTTTCAAGGGACTGGCAAACAGCACCGTCCAAAATCTTGATGATCTCACCGTGAGACTAACGGTTTGATTTATGTCTTCAAATCAATGTTCATGCAAATGTTTATAGAAATACGCCACTGCTGTGAACGCACTAGCAGCTGGCACAGACACAATCATTGCAATTATTATGTGCACGTTGCTTGTACGAAGCAGAGCGGGCTTCAACAAGAGGTTGGCTGTCTTTTCTGCGTCCTGAAAGGTTCTCATATTTCCATCACTAGGACGGATGCAATGTTGGCACGGCTTATCATCTTGTCTGTCAACTGCGGCCTATGGACTGGTACGTTTGCATTAGCAATTTCAATCATGGTGAGACAGTCTTTTTACAACGAGAATGGAATGTTGACGGGAAGTAGAATACAGCTATGCCAGACAATTTGGTTTACACCTGGCTGCAGTTTTCTCTGTCTCCGTTGTATTGCAACACCGTTCTTGGTTGTTTGAATGCCCGAGGCTTCGTCCGTAACGGCATACAGACAGACCAAATGTATACAAGCTTTCATTTGGGTTCTGCTTTTGGTCGCAAGCCTCAGCATCCAGTACGTTCTAATCAAGATTGCGCCACTTACATCTCATGTCGATAATTGCAGCTCAATGTTACAGTAGAAACCAGACGAACCGTCGACAACGAGAGCATAGACAGTCAGGTTCGTTATTCTAGCGCATACCTTATACTCTAACTTTCAGTATGCACCCAGGCTCTGCAAGCGTCGTCCACAGACAAACAAACTTCTCACTCAACAGAAGTCTCACTACGTCCACTTGGTGAACGTTATTGCTGAGACACACACATGTAGTATGAGGCATTACGGGGCACCAGACGTGGTTTCCGAGGCTATATTTATTAGTCAGGCACTGAGTATTGTAACAAAGCATCTGTGCATACTTGGGAGGAAATTTACTTTTCTTGCTTACTTGTTCAAATCAAACCCGCTCACGCCTAGTCAATCAGAACACTCTTCTACTGGAGCAACTCACTGAGAGCGAACTCGAAAATTCATCCAGGGAAGCCTAAAAATGTATACAGATGAGAGGCCCCCGGCTGCCGCTCCCTATAATGTTCGGCCGTCAGGACCTCCAACTGATGGGCCTCAAAGTAAGTGCATTCTACTGCTTCTCCGCATCAGGAGATAACTTGCATGCTTCACCACGGTCGCCTGTGAGCGCTTTCTTCCTGAAGTTGAAAATGAGATCGTTTATTAAGGCGTGAGTGTGGGGTTGAATTTGCACTGCTGACATGTGAAACGCAGCGCTACAGCTTTGGAATCTCGTGTCATATTTTTTTGGTCGAATCCTAAGTCGAAGGCTTTGGTTTTTAGCACGAAGATCATTGAGTTACTAGCAGGGCTAATATTCACGGTTTGCATTGAAAGATAGACATGGAAGGAGAGACTGGATAATCCTGGTATGCTGGGAGTAGCAGCCGGTGACCCATGATATCGGTGAATGCAGTCCTTGATAAGATTGATCATGGGTCGTTGTTAGTGCTCAGGCAGCTTTCTCATGCGAAAGGAGGATCTCTTTTGTCTCACATGACGAAAAACTGTGCTGGACCGTCAATTTGCTAGTGATCAGTCCTAGAACCTTCGGCCGCAGGCGGGTGAATGGTCAAAAAAGTCGACAAGCAATTCATCGAAGGTACAAATCTTTATACTCTGTACATCATAATATGATATAGCTAGATGTGGCAGGAGTGGGATGGATTAATCACTATCATTTGTCGTTATAAGTAGCTAGTGGTTTCTGGCCAAGGAAAATGTAAAAAATCATCTTTGACTGAGCCTCGCTCTCCCATTCCTTTTCTAGATCTTCTACCATTTCCTTGTATTCTTCCTCCGTCCGAATCCCCAGTGTCACTACCGTACTTAACATTCTCTTGTTGGCGCCAATAAAGCTCTCGCGAGCCCCGGCGTTTATCCCGCCTGAATCGGGTGGACCCCCAATACTGACTTCGCAACGTTGCGCCTTGACTTGGTCAAACCCTGCATCTTTGAGGAATTTCGGAATGTGGTCAGCGCAGTCATTTAATACGCCCCTTTTGGAAAATAGATCCCGAAACATCGCGTAGTACTCTCGTGATCTCTCTCCAGAGATGCATTGACTGATTTCGACGAGCTGCACCCAGCCTCCTGGCGCAAGTACACGGTAAATTTGCTCCAAAGCCGTGTCCCAGTTCTCTTTTGAAAACGCTGTCATAAGGAGCCGCTGATTCACCAACTGAAAGTTGTCGGTCCAAGTGCTCGGTAGCTGTAAAACACTCCCCGCATCCAGGTGGATCCGCCGCTTCTGTTCATCGTCGAGCCTTGGAAAAATGTCTGTCTTCGGGTCAATTCCATAAAAGTAGCATCTTTCTTGGCATTATAGCAGTCGAGGAGCCAAGATGCTGACAATTAAATAGTCAGACGAATAGACGAATCACAGACGACCACAAACCTGAGCCAGTCCCACTATCAAGTACCTTGTCTCCCGCGTGAAGTTCGATGGGAGCAAATACAATACGGTTCCCTAAAGCCTTTCTAAAGACCTCGTTTTGAAGATCAAGTCTATGAAATCAGAGGCTTCAATTTCAATTCAGGTCAAGAGCTATGGTCTGACCTCTTGCGCTCCGATTCGTCGGTTGGGAGAAAGTAGAGCGACTCTGTGGCGGAATGCATCTCGCTACCAACAGTGAGAATAATCCTCTAGTGTCTGGTGAGTGATCGTCAGCTCAAACATTTTGGTGGACAATAGAGCTTACATTGGGACCTTGTACTGAACCGAGTGTTGTCGGAAAGATTGCACGATGAACTTTTAAGCACTGGCAAGACCAATTCTATTTCACCTGCAGTGCATAAATAGACTACCATTGACCAATTACCGGCTGCTAGAATGATGCCCTTGATCAGGCTCATCAATCTGCTTCGAGAAAGATCTGATACAGCACTTCGGATTTGTACTAGCCTGTTAGCTAATTCAGTATAAGTATGGCCGTTTGAACGAATAATAATAAATGCGCAGACTCCAGTACAACCATGGATCTTGATTGATTGATCTTAGAAATTGTCCACGGCATCACAAAAAGTCCCAGGTTCCTTCCCAGCCGCCGTGTCGAGAGAAGTGGAGGCGGCATCCGAGTACTATTGTATGATAGAGCGCGTGCAAAACCATGTACCGACTCAACTGTCCTCTTTCTCGCAAACACGTGATAAATTTTAGGGTTACCTTGACAAGCAAGGTAATATTACGTAATGTTGAGACTCCAATGATAGAACAAGCTTGGCATCAAGATGGGCGGATGCATTACGAGTCGACTACCCTTTCTTTTAATATGAAGTGTTTCATGTATTGATATCGATGATCGCAGGTACCTCTAGATCACCCTCTTAGCCCCCGGACTCTCATGGACAGCCTCAATGATACAATTGTGGTTTCTTGGGATTCTTCCTCAGGGATCGGAATTATATATTCTTGTCAAACTCACAAGTCACTGGTTTTCCTAATCCCACTCACTCGATCACAAGGCTGACCATAAGTGGCAAGCATGGAGAACATACCCTTGGACAAAACTATGCTCTTATCTTTATTTCTCGAGACCTTACTTTATGGTGCGTTGCCAAGTGTGGAAGAGTGGTGTCGGAATTGATGATC